GGAATGATGAATGATCTGGGGCAGCGGATCAAAGCATTCGAAACGGCGTTACGGTAATTAGTCCCAGGCAGTGTGTACTGAGTCGATATTCGATGTCTTTTCTTGCATTCCAGAGCGACGGGTTTTTCTCCCTGGGCCGCGGCATATTTCGGACGTACCACTGTCCACGGCTGACGTCGACTGGTTCGAGTAAAAGGGGTGATGCAGTGGCAGTGACGAGACGAGGCTATCGAGGTATGGAGATGGCGGTTGGGGCTGTTATCCCACTCTTCTGCCCGAAGAAGGAACGGCCGGACACGAGGAAAGAATACCAACGCTGAGGTATTAGAGAAGCTAGGTATTGGCTTTTGGTGGCACGTGGTCATGAACTGGCTTCTGCCGAGTACAATTTGTCCGTAACTATTCACAAGACGAGGCCGGAATCCAACACATTGAACAGTAAAGATGAAGTCTCCGTATAGGTCTCCTGACAAGTCGGCTTCAGATGCCTCGTCCCAAACACCATCCCCATCATTGTTCCTGAACCATGGTATATATTGGCGACAGATGTACTTGTTGGTCCTTATTGGCTTCGACAGCCCTGTCTTGCATGATTCGTTTGGTCCCGTTGAGGATACTGCCCAAAGTCAGTCTACTCGAGAGGGAGAGGTCCTGAAGTGAGGTACGTGGTGCGTTTGTGTTCCTCGAGGGCGATGGTGGTGGGGCACCAAATCGAGGGGTTTCACGCTCGAAGGAGACTAGCGCGAGAAAACGGTAAAACAAGGGGAAACAAAAAAAAAAAAAAAGGTCGACCTCTCAGATTGAGTCTCGGCGGCACGCCTGGGGCGGCGCGGGCGTGCACAAGCGGCTGCTGGCCTTGGCCTGGGCCTGCCCTGAAGTTGCTGGCAGCTGCTGTTGGCAATAGAGAAAAAAATTGGATGTCAATGAGGGGCACATTTCCGCATTTTTCTGAGGCGCCCCCCCCGTCTTCCTCCCCATCAGGGTAGGTACCTGCTCCCCTATCAGATCTGCATGTACTTTTGCCGCCCGCCGTGTGCCGATTGAGCGAGGCAAATGTATCTTTTCCCACCGAATTCACTCACGTTGGCAGTATTTTTTCTAAATTACCCGACCTAACCTTACCTTACCTAAGGTATCTTATGTGCTTACCTCCGAGCAGGTCGGTCCCGGCCTACGGAGTGCTCTGAGCTTTCGCAGTTGTGTTTCCGAGTGGTAACGTAATAAGGGCCTTCCTTGGACTGAAGTGAGGTGAGGTAAGCTACCAGAGGTACCTACCTACCTTACCTGGAGGTAGAGCTCGCATTCCAGAGCTTGCTCCCTTAGGTCTAGCCCTCCCTTTCCCTTCCATGTGCGCCGCCCTTTGTGGCTTATCAAAATGGTAGCTCTGAATTGGATAATTGGATGGGTAGGGGAAAATGCAAAACGCCAATTGAACGACGTTGGATGAGACAGGAGTCGGTGTCTTGGGCCAGACAATGACTGACACCTCAGCCAGCACCCCAGCCAGTGACAGAGGACCGGAGAAAAGTCTGGCAGAGAAAAAAGAACAGAGAAAAAGTACCGGGGAATGGAAGCCGAGCTATCTGATTCGTATCCGTACCTTAGCTACGGCATGGTAGGGTAGGTACATTGCCCCTCCTCTTTTGCCTCCCTTCACCGCATGGAAATGGTCTGAGAGAAGCTCAAAAGGGAAGTGTTCTGGGGCCTGTAGGAAAGTCTGATTGTCAGATATGTGACGGAGGGAATGTACATTTGTTGCATTGTTGGACCCGAGTTATGGGGAGGGATAGCAGTCAGTCAGTCAGTGTCGGAGCTATCATCAGCCGAGAGGCAGGTCCGTCTTTTCCATCTCAGTATCTGCCCGGTATACTTTGATTACCTTATGAACAGCAGTGAGGGACAGATAGCATGTACTTCTTGCTATCGTCTTGTATCAGCTCTAAAGTCTCGCGGAGCCATGACCAGCAGACTGAGCAAAAGTGACCAGGAGAGCAGCATGGTGTGTCCACTGTCGAGGACGAGGTGTCCAGACAACGACCAGACACTGGCAAAACCCCACCCCGCCTGCCACACCTCGAGACTTCAGTCAATTGGAAGGCATGGCGTGGGTGAGGAGGAAGGAGCATTGGATCGAATTGTGAAGTTTTTGCCCCGCCTCAGGCTTCAGGTGGGCTGCTGCAAAGGCAGAGGAAGTCCCGTCCCCCAGTCACTTTTTTACCCCTCCTTCCCACCACTGGCCACCTACGGATACTTCAGTCTGAACTTGTGAACTTGCGAAGTAGGTACAGAGATCATGTAGAGACAAGTACCTTTTTTATCACCGTACCTTACGCCGCGCTTCGCCGACACACAGCAACACCAAGAAGGCGAAGAAGGCAAGAAGGAGGTACCTTTTGTTGACACAGCAGGAGCAGCAGAGATTTCTCACCTACGGATACCTCACCTCAGGGCAGTCTGGATTCCCGACATCTCATCCCTCGCATCCCGCATCCCTCCCACTTCTGGCACTCCCACTCAGGCACTCACACACCGCCCTGCCTTCCTGCCGTCCCTGTCCGTGTCTGTACCCCTCCAAAGTCCAAAAGCCTTTTTTTTTTTACTTCTTCTACCTGCCCTCCCCCCGCCAACTACCTTTTGAATCTTCTCCTCCTACTCTTCTTCTTCATCCTCTCTTCTTCTCTTCTCCCTCTTCTATACCCCCCTTCCTCTCCCCCCCAAACCACCTTTTACCATCACCACAAACTGCACAATGGCTGCCCCCGCCAACAAGTTCAAGGTCGCTGACCTGTCCCTTGCCGCCTTCGGCCGCAAGGAGATCGAGCTCGCCGAGAACGAGATGCCCGGTCTTATGCAGACTCGCGCCAAGTACGCTGCCGACCAGCCCCTCAAGGGTGCCCGTATCGCCGGTTGCTTGCACATGACCATCCAGACCGCCGTCCTCATCGAGACCCTCACTGCTCTCGGTGCTGAGGTTACCTGGACTTCCTGCAACATCTTCTCCACCCAGGACCACGCCGCTGCTGCCATTGCCGCTGCCGGTGTCCCCGTCTTCGCCTGGAAGGGTGAGACCGAGGAGGAGTACAACTGGTGCTTGGAGCAGCAGCTGTCCGCCTTCAAGGATGGCCAGAAGCTCAACCTCATCCTCGACGACGGTGGTGACCTGACCCACCTCGTCCACGAGAAGTACCCCGAGATGCTCAAGGGCTGCTACGGTGTCTCTGAGGAGACCACCACTGGTGTCCACCACCTCTACAAGATGCTCAAGGATGGCAAGCTCCTTGTGCCCTCCATCAACGTCAACGACTCCGTCACCAAGTCCAAGTTCGACAACCTGTACGGCTGCCGCGAGTCCCTCATTGACGGAATCAAGCGTGCTACCGATGTCATGGTTGCCGGCAAGGTCGCCGTCGTCGCTGGATTCGGTGATGTCGGCAAGGGCTGCGCCCAGGCTCTGCACACCATGGGTGCTCGTGTCATTGTCACCGAGATTGACCCCATCAACGCCCTCCAGGCCGCCATGGCCGGCTACGAGGTCACCACCATGGAGAAGGCCGCTCCTCGCGGTCAGATCTTCGTCACCACCACTGGCTGCCGTGACATCCTGACTGGCGCTCACTTCGACGTCATGCCCAACGACGCCATCGTCTGCAGTACGTTCAGCCCCCCTTTTTATCTGTTTCTTCTACAGTCCAGTTGACTAACCCCCTCCCTCCAGACATTGGTCACTTCGATATCGAGATCGACGTCGCCTGGCTCAAGGCCAACGCCCAGAGCGTCCAGAACATCAAGCCCCAGGTCGACCGCTTCCTGATGAAGAACGGCCGCCACATCATCCTCCTTGCCGAGGGTCGTCTGGTTAACCTTGGCTGTGCCACCGGCCACTCCTCCTTCGTCATGTCCTGCTCCTTCACCAACCAGGTCCTTGCCCAGATCATGCTGTACAAGTCCGGTGACGCCGCCTGGGGCCAGAAGTACGTTGAGTTCGCCAAGGCTGGCAAGCTCGACGTCGGTGTCTACGTCCTCCCCAAGGTCCTTGACGAGGAGGTCGCCAGACTCCACCTGTCCCACGTCAACGTTGAGCTCACCGAGCTCACCAAGACCCAGGCTGACTACCTCAGCATCACCGTTGAGGGTCCCTACAAGAGCGACATCTACCGCTACTAAGCGGTCTCCTCTTTGTATCATCCAATCTTTTAGCGACTGGATTTCTTCAACATTCCGACTAATGACTTCAACGAGCGTACACCATAACATTTGGCAATGTGTGTTCTCAACAGCATGACTTGCATGACACATCTGGGAAGGGAATCTCGGCTGGGGGCGGTTACGGGCTGGAAACTCAAAAAGCTTGGGGGGCCTGGCTGCGAGATTTTTCAACAAAAAAAGGCGTTGGCTTGTGAATAGTGATTCCCCAGACCATGGCATCTGTATTTTGCTTTCTTCGGCCCGACTCTTGGGGAGCGGGAAAAAATAAGGGACTCAACCCCCGGACATGGGATTAGGGGTTATGGGTAGACAACTCGACGACTAGGGCCCGTCAACCGCGGTCCGCATAGATGAATATATGCGTCTTTCGAGCAATAATCTTTGTAATTTGTGCCTATTGAACTGTGCTCTCATACTGTCTAATTCTTGCCACGTTTACGCCTGGCTCTATGTGTGAACTCTACATGCAGAGCTTATGTTGTTGATACCAAGTCAAATCACTACAATTGCTAGTAGACCTGATATGTCCCAGGGAAGTCATTCCTGCCATGGAATTCCAGAGTTCAATTCATCATTCATCATGTTGCCTGATCTGCCAAGTTCCCTTCCTTGCGGTGAAGCCCACCTCCATGGGCTGAGTGCTGTTTGGGTGCTGAATTTGGGTCCAACGAAGATATATCAAGATGTGAGTGTAGAATAGATGGGTCTGACCCTGTCATACGCTGTCGTCCTTGTCACAACCGCGTCAGTCGTTAGCAGTGCAGTCTTTCACCCTGTACGTATTCCAGATCACATATCACGTGTGACGTCCAAGTCTGTAGAAAACTTCATTCCGCTGCTTGTCACATATCCCTTGATTTGAAAAACCTCCGCCACAAAGTACTTACTTCCCTCTTTCTCCACCGCCAACCCTAAGCAACAAGCCCCTTTTGCTCAACAACGACACTATCTAACTTGCCCTCCGTCACCGCCCTCCTAACATTCCCAATAGCCCACTTCTCCATCTTGACACTCGTCTCCAGCGTCCAGGTGCCCATGTGCGGGACGATGAGCACGTTGGGATTGGCGAGCAGACCCGGGTGGACCTCGGGCTCGTTCTCGAAGACGTCGAGACCCGCGCTGGCGACTTTTCCGGAGTCGAGGGCCGCGACGAGCGCGGCTTCGTCGATGACGGCGCCGCGGGCCGTGTTTACTATCACGACGCCGGGTTTCATGAGGGCGAATTGAGGGGTTGAGATTATGTGGCGGGTGTGGGCCTTTTCTTGTCAGTGGTGATGATGAGGTGGTGTTGGGTGGGTGGTTTACGTACGTTTAGAGGCAGGTTGAGTGAAATCACATCACTCTCCCTTAACAACGTCTCGAAATCGACGTAGCTGGCACCACACTCGTCTTCCAAGTGTCCCTCCAGCCTCGCACGGTTGAAATACCGCACCTCCATGCCAAACGCCCTCGCCTTCTTAGCCATGTTGCGTCCGATACCGCCCATACCGAGGATGCCCAGGATTTTCCCCTGGGGGTCGCGGCCCAAGGGTGGAGGGGGTTGGCCTTTCCATTTCCCGTCGCGGATGGAGAGGATGGAGGCGTTTAGGTTGCGGAGGGCGCCGAGGATGAGGAAGATTGCAATGTCTGCTGTTGCGTCGTCGACTGCGGTGGGCGTGTTTGAGACCAGGATGGGGGTGGGGGAGCGGGATGTGCAGGCGGGTATGTCAATTTGGTCGTAGCCGGCGCCTGGTGTTTGTTTTAGTAATCAGTTGTTGATTCACTGCTGAGAAGGTCAAGCCGGGATTGTGTGATGTCGAGAATGTTCTGTGATAAGACGGGGGGGGCTCTCACCATTGTGGCAGATGAAGCCTACACTGGAGGGTAGAGCGGCGACAAGCTCGGCGTCGATACGACCGGTGATGTGGACGCTTGCAAAAGTGCGGTAGATTGCCTTTACGCCGTCGAGGGCGCCAGACTTGCACTCCTCGAGGAACTCAGCACGGTTGGTCGCCTTGGGCTTGATGATTTGGGCGACGTCGGCGAGGGATGCCCAGGTGTCGTGGGCGCTTTGGCGGTGTGCTTGTTAGCTTTGGTCGGTTCGTCTGGTTGAGATGAGGAAGGGGCTTTGGTGGGAGGATGTGAAGATGAGACTGGATGTTGGTTGAGGATTATGAGACGGGACTGGTGAGGATGGAATGATGAAGAGGGGAGACGTACTGCTCGATTTGGCCCAGTTGAAGGACTATGGGCTTCGACATGATTTCGGTGAGTGAAGAAGTTGAGTTGAAATCGACTTCTCTCGAGAAGTGTTTGTCCTTTGGTGGAATTGCAAACTTGAGTATGCGAAATATTGGTTAGCTCCAGATAGGCAGGTCCATCCCATTACGTCGCTTTCTTCACAAGTCGGAGATCTTCTGAAACCAAGAGATATTGTGCTGGCGCTTAATGTAAGAGAACAACTCACTAGACTAGTCAACCTGACATGTGATGGCGAAATATGAGGTTAGAGTAGGTTTCGTCACCTCGCAGAGTTGATGCCGCGAAGTCGGAGTTGAGATACAGCGGCGCGGGGTGGCTTTCCCGTTGGGCAATCGACTCGATTGGGAAAGTGGGGGTTGATCAGCGGGGTTGGAGCTCAATTGGTCGCCCAAACTCGACTCCTGCCAACAATCTCACAGCAAGTCATGCTTAAAGGGTATAAGGCGAGTGACATGATCCGGTTCTTTAATATGGAGGCTTCTAGTCAGAAAGGGAGGTTCCTACTTACAGGGTCATCGGAGAGGATGGGCCATGTGTCTCTGCAGGGCGTGAAAGGGCGTGAACGCACCCCGCCAGACCCGGCGTCTTATCTCAGCCCCGAGTTGAGGGCCGTGTCATAAGGTACGCTCCGATTTCTTCGGGGAGAAGGCCGAGTAGCTTCTGGGCAAGCGTCGGGTCACCGGAAATCAAGGCAATATCTTCAATGTATACGGTAGAGGTAAGAGACGCTCATGACGTCCCAACTATTTGCAGGATCTTGTTCACGTGAAAGTTTAGACAGCGGTGAACACACGCACATTGCCGGCTCCAAAAACCAAGCCTGTCTCATGGATTGAATTTATTGAGATCAAGGGACCGGCGTCGCCTAAACGTGTAAAGCTAGAATATCAGAGAGGCTCATGAAGGAGGGGCGGCTCCCTGTGCGTAACTCATACCATCTATGGCCCACATGGGCCCTGGGAACGTATTCCGAGGCGTACTGCAGTTCTAAGCTGGAGCGAAGGCGAAATCTAATTTCTTATGGGAAGACAGGGCGAACTGATAGAATGGTGAGTACAATAAACAAGCCCCCGCAAACCACTTACTTGCCGTATGATTAACGCAGGATATCTGCCAAGAAATGGAAGTATAGTCTACTTAAGGTATCTTGAGAACACGCTAGTTCAAGGCACTGTTCTTGAGTTTTATGATCACCATGAATTCACTCATAGCAGCTACCGTTTTAGAATGGCCAGTTGATTGAAGGAAGCAAGCTGACGAGTATTTCACAGAGTTCCGGTGCATCTTGAAGTCAGGTTTTCTTCTTAAAGCCCTCAGAACGCCCCGGATACACCCTCCGCAAGTCAAGAATGACAACATCTCCTCATAGGTCAAATCTGAAAATGGTATCATTAAAGCACTGCGATAATCACCAACTGTCCTCCTTAAATACAGCCTGACAACCCATCCCCCCAATGAAATCCCTTGCATCCTTCTCAGACTTGAATACATGCGGATGCGGCTTCTTCTCCCCCTCCGCATCAACCTCCATCCCCAACACCCCGTTCGGGTCAACCACAACAACACTCCGCTCATCCAGTAGCAATCTCCGAATATTCTCATGAACGATCCTCTTCGCAATATTATTCAACGAGTACGCATCCCGAAATGAGAAAACAACCGCACACGCATTCTCGTGCCTTCCCGACCCGGGATCCTCCGGATCCGGCGATCCCAGCTCCCTCGCCAGCGCCCTCGTCAACCTCTCGGAACCCGCGAACCTCACCGCGCCGCGCAAACTGAAAATGACAACCTCGCGCTGACAATTGGGATTATGCGGCTCATGCGCTCCCGCAACGAGCGTCGCCACCGAAGTCCTCACCGTCGCGCTGGCAATCTGGCTCACATCCATCATATGCAAGCCCATATCGCGCGAGAGCTGCTCGCACATAGCCACCCCACGTACACTATTCCCCCGCTCATCGAGCTTGGGCGAAAAGGAAGCGAGCCCGACCTGCCCCGGCAACGCGCCGATGATCCCGCCCGCGACGCCTGACTTGGCGGGGATCCCGACGTTGGAGACCCAGTCGCCCGCGGCGTCGTACATGCCGCACGTGGTCATCACCGACAGCACCTGCCTTACGCTGGTCTGCGGGATGACGGACTCGCCCGTCAGGGGTTGCACGCCGCCGTTGGAGAGCGTGGCTGCCATGACGGCCAGGTCGCGGACGTTGACGCTGATGGAGCACTGCCGGATGTACCCCTTTACGGCCTCGCGCGGGTCGCAGGTGATGATGCCCGCAGCCTTGAGCATGTACCCGATGCCCATGTTGCGGTCCGCGTCTTTCAGTTCCGCCTCGTAGACTTCTTCGTCTACGTGCAGCTGGCGGCCTGCGAGGCGCGAGAGGGCGGTGAGGATGCGTTCTGTGCGCTGTTCCAGCGTCGCGGAGGGGGATACGACGAGGGAGTGCGCCGTGATGGCGCCGGCGTTGATCATGGGGTTCATGGGCCTGTTGGAGCCGCGCTCGAGGGAGAGGCGGTTGAAGGCGTCGCCCGAGGGCTCGACGCCAATCTTTTCGAGGACGGCGGGGAGGCCTGCGTCCTCGATGGCTAGGGCGTAGACAAAGGCCTTGGAGATGGACTGGATAGAAAACTCGACGCGGTCGTCGCCTGCCGAGTAGAGGTTCCCGTCGACCATGGCGAGAGCGACGGCCATTTTGGACGTGTCTGCTTTGGCTAGCACGTCAATGTAGCCCGCTGGCGCGCCGGCCTCGTTGGGGCGCGCATTCTCGAGGACGCGGTTGAGATAATCCGGGATGGGGGATTTCATTTTTGTGTAAGTGGGATGTGAATCGTGAAGCCACGGTGAGAAGGAGAAACTCATCGTGAGTTCTTCTTTAGATTCGGACAAGTGGAAAGCGTATATATGTAGCTTGTACTTGGCGCTTACTAACAGCCCGTTTGTGCTGTTTTCAGCAGTTCTGCAGTTTAGCGGAATTCCGCGAGCCACGCGATGGTGCTGGCAAGAACGCCTTTTCTTTCCTGTCAACGGGAACCGTTTTCGTTCCGTTGGCAAAACTCTCACTAAGATGGTGTGTTAGCTCATCTGTCTCATGGCTCAGGGAACCCCACTACTCAACGGTGAGGCGAGTGAATCTAAAACCTACAGTCGGGAATGAATCGTCAGGTAGAAATCGTGAAGCGTACCGGTAGTTGGATATTAATGATGAGAACAATTGAGAAAAGAAGCAACTACAGTCATTCGAAAATAACCCGGAAGCGCTGAGTCGCCATGAGCTCTTTTGATTGTAAAAATTGCCAAATTCGGTAACCCTAAGTGTTCCACCTCGAGATCCGAAGCTGGTCGTAAATACGACAAACGCAAGGTTTTCCTTAGGTAAAAGGACCGGGAAATTCTCGCATCTCGAGTTTCAACACCACAACCAAATTTGATTAAAAAACATCGCCGACATCGCATGGACCCCAAAAGCAGACACCTTGGCGAAAGAGGACTGGCGAAAGAGTAGCATGCATTTCCGAATCTGCATCGAACCTCGCTAATCGCCGGCTAGGCTCTTCAATCGTGGTGACTTGCATGGTCCCTGCATCCCATCGCTGCCAAGGATCCTCAACATCAATACGCTTGTCCTGCGTCTGGCCGGGTGGCCGAGATCCCAGTTACCCTTATTATCGTCAATTGATATACAGCCTCGTGAACTTGACATCAATCTTTAGCTTTGACGATCAACCTCAAGCGTCACAACCAAAAGTCTCATATCACGATACCAGACACAACGATGCTAGTTCAGAATTTCCTGATTTCTACTGGCCTCCCAACTCCAGGACCGAGGCCATGCTATCTAATATCGTACAGAGCAACAGCAGTACCAAGATCCAGAAAGTCCGGTAGCATCCTCCAGGGAAAGTCCCGAGGAAGATCTCTACCATGCCTCCCGTTACTGGAAACAACCGCTGTGCTCAAAAAACCACTTTTTCTTTCTCTTCCCGCCACACCGCCGCCATGCCTGAATAATCACTAGTTTTTAGGGGGGAACTACTTGTACAAGATGATGCCGTCGGCCGTGAAAATGTAGGACGAGCAGCAGCGTATTGCCGCCCGCATGCTTTGATGCAAAAAGGAAACTGAAATCACAAAAGGGAAGAAAGCCATGCTTCCTTCCCTCCCATTCCTGCGAACGCCTCCAAAAATACATGATTTTTTGTTCTCCCCCGCCCCCTTTGAGCCTGGAAAATGCTGCAGAGTGTGAATGCTGATAGAAAAAAAAAACGAAAAATCTGGTTGGATCAATATGATCAAGGCTGTGCTGGAGCAGCCTGGTGGGGGTGTGCCGCAATATTGACCCCGGGACTGATGTACGCTCTGATGGCAATCTCGCCGAATCGCCGGACCACGTTTGTTGTTCCGCCGGTAACTTGAGCCTCATCCTGAATAAACTTGTTCGCTACGAAGAGTCGGTTCTTAGGGTCGGACTCATCCATGTGCTGAGGCACATTCCGCTCGAAACCAACTTCCACACGAGGAGACAGCTCTCGTGAGATGGCGATGGAGTAGATGAGATCTCGGTTCTCTCTACCGCCGAGCTGCATTCTGAGTTTGCCGAGAACCTCATCACGCTTTGTTGGGTCGTAGTAACACAGATATTGTGCGAGGTTATACCAGAACTCAAACTCCTGCTCGCGATGGGGTTGCGTGTCAGGAACAGGAGGTGTGAGAGGATTTGAGGACAAAAAGTCGCCGCAGAGGAGAGTCTCCATGACCTTGACTCGGTTGGCTGCTTCCGTCAGGTCATCCGGAGGTGGCAGAACCTTGGCATCGGCGTTGGACGAAGGGGGAGCGCTGTTGCATGGCAAGATGGCCAGGGCCCAGATCAATCGAGTCTCGAGAACTCCAGAATGAGTCATCTGGGTGTGGTCATTGGCCGGGACAGATTGAACGATCTTGAGGAACGAGGCAAATTGGCGCAAGAGTTGCTGGCTGTGCTCAAAGGCAAACTTTCCCTGGGCATCTTGCTTCTGGAAATAGTTGGCCTCGAAGAAGGACTGAAGGCCGACAGCGTAGACCTCGCGATAGACATTGATGATCTCGGTGAGTAGCTCGGGGGTGAGGGCAATCTCCTGGGTGGGAGCCGCGGGGCCCAGGAGGCCGATAAGGTCATCGACCTTCATTCTGGTGGCTGTGTAGGTCGTGTTAGTATGAGGGTTTGAGAACGAAGCAACAACGGCTGAAAGAGAACAAGGCATGTACAATGATAGCGGGAGGGTCGCACCTCTGAGATGGTTGTCGAAGCCTGCCCTTTGCTCGCCCGAGAACGACTGAGTCTGAGTAGAGTGTAACGTTGCCGGGGCGGGTAGGTTCTGCAGAGCTGGATCTATCGGCGCTGCAAAGTCGTAGGCGGTGGGCTCGGGTTTGATGCCGGACGCAGCAGAATTCAAGGCTGGATCGAGAGGGGCGTGCGAAGATGGGACGGGAGGATTGTACGAGCTAGGCAAGACGGCAGGCTGGTTTCCGTACGGGTTTGATGGAGCTACCGGCACCGGGACCTGAGGCGGCGCAGGAGTTGAAGGCACGGTCGGGACCGGAGGTGGGACGGATGATGGCACGGATGGAATGGTTGGCGTGGGCACCCGCTGTGTGTTCGGAGCGGGCTGGATGACGGAGGGACCCGGCTGCTGCTTGAAGATGGGGTCGTACCCCAAACACTCTCGTTTCGACTTTTTACAGTTGTTGCAGGACGGGTGAGCCTCGTCACACTATAAGAGGTGGTTAGAACGGCGGCTTTGAGTGCGAAAAGAGCTCAACCAAGAGTAACGTTGTGAGCGAGGAATGAGAATGAGAATGGCAACGAGTATGTATGTGTGAGACAACTGGGAATATGGGAGTTGGGGAATGCAACGGATGAATATACAGATGCCGTTTGCGGGCGAGGATGGTAAGGTTGCGTGTGATGTGTGTGTGTGTGTGTGTGTGTGTAGGTGTGAATTGGGGATGATGATGAGGTAAGGTGAATGAATTGAAGTCGGAGTCGATGAATGTCGCAGATGGGACGAGGCTAGAACGAGCTAGCGGCAGTCGTGACAGATGGGTGAGGGTGGCTGGTGCTTGGAGTTTTTTTTTTTTTTTTTTTTTTTGGAGGTGTGTCCGCTTAGGTCCTCAGTGGTAGTGGCTTGACGCTTGTCCTGAGGCCCGAACCAAGGCTTGGAGGGGAGGCTTGGAGGCTTGTAGGCGGCTTGGGTAACTGGAAGGGAAGGAGGGGTAGGGGCTTCTTGCCAGGCAGGCGGGCGCGGCGGTCGGTTGGCGGTCGGTTCTGCAGGAACGGAAGATTGCTCCTCCCTGCGGGCGTGGGCGCGGGCACGATCCCGGAACGTGGTTCAAAGGCATGGCTCCCGTCCTCGCTTCGCAGTAGCTCCAGACCAAGCGAACATCAAGCGACCGTTTTTTTTTTGGGCGAAACCACGACTCGGTTCGCTTATCGTAAAGAAAGTTTGTTTGTTTCTTTGCCATCCTTTGCATTCCCGAGCTTTTTCAACGTTGCCTTCCTTTGCGCGCGCGCGCTTTCTCAGATGAGGAGTCTCGAGAAAATTTCCCCAATTGCCTCTTACCTCGCTCGACAACGCCCAATTCGTAGCAGGGAGTAAGGTGATATGGAAAAGAAGAAGAAAAAACAAACAAAGCATAACTTCACGAGAATCATCACTAACCTTGATACGACGTTTACGACAAGTCAGGCAACCTGTCTTTGTGCGGCGCTTGATCTCCTAGTAAGAAAAAGAGGTAACCCCCAACCGTCAGCTTTTATCCAAACGAGCCACTGTTACTGCCGGAGCAGCCTTCTTCCATCCTTTTGCATATCCCTTCAAACATACCTTCTTCGGCCCACCGGGACCGCGCATCAGTCTAGGATCGTGTCCGTGGGGGATTTGATATCTCAGGTGATTCAGATCCTGCGTCATATATGGGTTGCTCTGTACTCCCGGAGGGAGGTAGTATTGCATGCCCTGGTTGGGCGCCATCTGCATCTGCATCGGCATCGTCTGAGGAGGCGGCGGCGCACTTTGTTGGTAGTGGTGTTCGAGGCTCTTCATGCTCGGCAGAGAGGGAATCGGTGCGCCAGGGCTGGCTCGATATGGGTCCGCCTGAGCTTGAGTTTGCTGAGGGTGGTAGGCATATTGGTTCGGCGGCATAGGACCAGGCGAGGGAAAGGCATTGGGGCTCGGGTAGCCTCTCTGAGAGCCATGAGGGTGCTGGTTATGCGCCATGCCAGGCGAGTGTGACGCCCTCGCGTCGCCGTTCTGCTGGCCGTTTTGCTGAGGAGGGAGCGGCGCAGGAGCTGCCACAGCAGGCGTAGACTCAGTCGCAGTCGAAGTCGCAGTCGCGCTCGTGGTCGAAGGACCAATCGCAGGTGCCGCAGTAGTGGTAGGTACGGACGCGTTCGCAGTCGCGACGGACGGGGTCTCGGCGGAGGGAGTCGGTGTCTCGATGGAGGTCAAGGTCGGCGTCGTGGAGAGGGTGACAGGAGCAGGAGCAGAAGCGACAGGAAGAGGAGGAGAGGTCGAAGTAGTCGGGGGAAGGATAGAATTAGTAGAGGTTGTCGAGGGATCCGTACTAGGAGCGGCAACGTCGTTGACATCAGGCACAACTGGCACAGGCGCAGGCACAGGTACAGGCACGCTGGAGGTGCTGGCACTGGTGCTGCTTGTGCTGATGCTTGTGGTGTCTTCTTGAGCCATTTCGATTTTAATTAGAAATTTTTATGGAGCCACGATTGGACTTGTGAGGTCGACCAGGGGAAGAGGCGTGGATGGAAGGAAGCAGCAGCGTGGATGCGCGACACCCTGGGTGCAGGTTGATCAGGAGCTGTGCCTGATGCGTGGTCCCTGTTCTCAACGTCGCGACTCGAGGCGAGATTTTTTTTTCGTGTCCAGTCTGCTTGTGGCTCGACTGCTGCTGCCACTTGCTGCTGCTGGTCCTGGGACGGACTGGGAGGAGGCGGGAGGGGGTGCGGAGGAGCGGCAGCAGGAGGAGGAAAGGAAGGGTACGCGTAGGGGTGCCTGTGGGTGTGTGCGAAGGAGGAATTCGACTTGGGGTGGGCGCCTTTTCGGACCAGTGTCGTCAAGCAGCAGCACGGAAGGAGGTCTTTTCGGGACCGGGACGCAGAGAAAGAGAGGAGCAAGGCGGTTGTGGATGGCCAGGAGTTCTCTTGCAGTTCTGGGACCCCTGTGCTGCTGTGTGTCGAAATGTGCAGTGCAGTGTGCAAATCCAAGTCCACCTCAATGTGCAAAGCAAAGCACAGGTTGTCTTGCGCGCAAAGTGGCAGACGACGTTGTTCGGGTGGGTGGTGTGGTGTCGGCCGAGAAGGAAGGCCTGCACTAAAGCAAGGTAGGGAGCGGCGCGCGAAGAGGGAGAATCGAGCAAGCCAGTGGCCCAGCCAGATCTGCACAATTTTCGCGCGACGGGTGCTTGGTGCTGGGAGCAAGACCTGGGATTGCTTGGATGCTGGATGCTTGCTTGGATGAAGGGGGAGTCGTCTTCCCGTTTCTCGGCCCCAATACTAACAGGCTGTTTCCACGCGTGCGCGCAGGACGGAGGGGCCAGGGGGTGGTCGGGGTACGGAGTATATCCGTCGACGTCTTTTCTGGGCTTGAGCCTTGAGTACGCAGTATGGCAGTCTGCGAGGTGTGACTGGGTGACTGGGTAAGGTGGCCTTGGTTCCGAATGTACCTGCGCGTACCTTACAGAGAAGGCAAGCCGCAAGCCGCAAGCCGCACGAGGGGGTCGGAGTCGGGACGAGGCCAGTCGAGAATAAGATGGTGTCTGGTATTGGTCAGGGAAGACGGCGTATTGGTGGTGCGGGTGGATCTATCAGAAGGAGGCGGTAGAAGAAGCGGATGCTGTTAAGGGACGAGACGAGGAGACAGCGCGGGCGACAGGCACAGGCACAGGCACAGGTATTGGATGCCCATGGGTGAGTTTGAACGGGGGGTGAATTGTGCTGTCTTTCCTAGGTACGGAATAAGGTAGTTTGTGATGGTGGTGGTGGTGCTGCTGCTCGTTGGGGTGGGTGGTGCGCGATGTGAAGGTCCTGTTCTTTTTTTTTTCGCCTTCCTTCTCGAGGGTGGGTCAGGTATTCGGAAAGTGAAGGCAAAGGCGCAGGCGCAGGTTGACGGGCCGGCGAGAAGTCTTGGCCTGGCGGCTGGGACACCCGGTTTGCTGGCCTGTACGGAGTACTTCGTAGTGTAGGAGGATTGGAGTGTTGGAGTGTTTGCTGCCCAGACCAGTATCCAGGATGGTGGAGAGTGTTTGGGAGAGAAAGACGCGGGTCAGGGTTGACCGATTGTGTCGGGGTTTGCAGGGGGCTGTTCGAGATCAATTGTGGCCGCCGCACGTTCGCAAAGGTCCAAACAGAACAAAAGAGAGGCGGACAGAGTGACGGGACAAGTGGGCGGGAAAAGCGCGGGATGAGGAGACAGGAACTGGGAAGGAAGTAAGAAGGAAAAAAAAAAAAAAAAGATTTCGGTGGAATGGGCCAAGCTCAAGGTGTGGAAAGGTCAGCGGGAAGGAAGCTAATACCGACTTACCTACCTTTAGGTACTGCTCAGCTACCTTCCTTAGGGAAGAACCTTAGTGCTACCTTCCTCAGTAAGCTCGGGGGTATTGTGGCCAATCATCAATGGAATTAATTGACTTTTTCTTCTTCTGAACCTTCTGTCCCTGCACACTTTGCTTCGTCTTAGGTAAGGCAAGTCACCACTTAGCCGGTAGGCAAGCACAGCAGGGACGATTGTACTAAGTGAACCTTGCAGAAAGAGGAAAGGGCCAGCCGCGCGGAAGGCAAAGTCTAAAGACAAGATGGCGCCAATCCGCGCGAAATTCACACCAATTCCATTTGATCAAATGGCACGGCCGCTGTCCACGTCCATGGCGCCTGCCAACTTTGGTCGATGTTGGGCAAGTAGGTAAGCACGTAAAGTAAGGTAAGTAAAGTACTACACAGTCATGGAAGGCACAAGCACCGACTGCAACTTCCATCTTAGAACTCGGCCTGCTCCTTCCATCTGCTGATTCTCGTGATTGGCTCGGATTCACGAGAATGGTACGTAACTAACTTATGCAGTACCTCAAGGTAACAACTGACCTCGAAGTCACGTCGAGTACCTATCAATATCTCAAGGATACCTTACCTACCTTCAGCCAACTTGTCATTGCCTGCCAACCTGGAAATGACCGACTTTGACACTGACAGTATCTCGTTTGGGCTCTTTGCAGTTTGCTACACCACGAGGGGATTTTAGCTCAGTGGAATTTGTCCCGACCTTTCCACTAAAGCGAGCCGCCACTGTTTGTCCCAGTCTCACTCTCGACGCTCCTCATGTACTCTATGTACCTTTTCGTGTATCGGAACCTCACCACACTCACCCAAAGCTCACTCAACTATTACCTCCAGATTGGATAATATGCCAGGTATTATTCAGTGAACCACTGGGCCGTGGACGTGAAAAACTTCCCGAATCGTCTCTCTACCCGGGACACGCCTCTAGCTTGCTTCCACCATCGATTCAACCGGGCCACTTGCAGCCTTGTTTGGTCCGATGCCCGGGACATGCCCTGATGCCACGCATACGGAGCACGGAGCCATCCTTTTGTTTCTCTTCCTCTTCCACCCCCTGAGATGAGGGGGTACAATATGTCAAAAAGGTGACTCCCGTCTGTCCCCTTGAATGCTTAACCACTTGACACCTGTGACCTCCAGGTTGACACAAGTCAGAAGGGCGTAAGAGGTCATCGGTCGACTCTTTCATAACCTCTAACTTGTCTAGACGCGATCCAGAAGGAAACCACTCATTCTGTGACTCGGAAGAGGGTCTCCCCAACTCCTGTCGGCCCCGTGTTGGCCACCCCCGAGCCTTGAACCCAGGTCGCCCAGCGGGTGAGAGGTCCGTTTTCTGTGGCTGGAAGCTCGCTGCAAGGTGAATATCGAACCATCCACCCAGGACCGCCCCCCTCCCCTCCTTCAAACACCCCGGCCCATCCAATCCCCAGCCGACGGGACAGTCTTAGTCAGATGCCATCCACAAGGCAGGTACGAAGAACCTACGAGTTTCCGTACCTTCTTCTGTCTTTCTACCTCAGTATCTGAGTACCTACCTTACTTCGTGAAAAGGTAAGGCAGGTGCGGATACTCCGTACCTTCTTTACGGACACCCACGAATAAGGTACCTAAGTACTTTGCACCTCGGTCTGCCTGCACCGAATTCGCAGGTCGCATAAGGTAAGGTAGCACAATCAACCTACACTTGTGCAACACTCGTCCATCAGTTACACCGAACGAGGTTGGAAAAAGGCAACATCTTTGATGAAATCTCTTTTTGCAATACGACTATATAATTGCCCTCCATATTCATCATCAATAATACCCGTTCTAAGAGAAGCAAAAAAGGACTCCGATGCAGGCACCGCTACTGCTGCAATTCCATCCCCGTCGCACACGATCAGGTACCAAAAGGAGACTTACCCTGCCAGCTCCTCCAGGCTCCGAGGTACTTCTGTCAAAGGTTCCACTACCTCCTTCTCCAGCCACTAATGCGTCTGCAGTAGCTCCGTCTCACATGTGCGTTACGTAAAGGGGTACCGTGGCCGCATGTCCCACCGGTTGGTCTGGCCGCGTCTCCTCCACGTACTCTCGCAAATCCGATGCAATTTCAACACTCCCAGCCAAGCCACCGCAGCCACCCCCCCCCCCCCCCATGCAGCAAATCGGTCTTCTCAACGCCTCGTACCGCACCTCTTCGCATGAAGTTGCAATTCCACCAAAGCCACACTCGCAGCAGATCATTGAGGCGCTACCTTGAACTGACCTCATCTTCAATTTCAGCCCTGCACTTTCGAACCCTCTCCAGCTCTCTTGGGCCGCAGAATATTGACCGACGACATCATCATCATCATCGTGGACGTCGTCAACTTCATTCAAAAGAACATGTGATGATTTCCGCAATCCCATCTCCGTCCGTCGCAGTCTCCGTCCCTACGGACACATACCACGGAAGCTTACTACGGATACCCTCTAGTTGAGTCTAGCTTCTTGCTGCTCTGCATCGTCATCTTCCAGGCCAAACCCTCCTCAATCTATCCCACTCTATACCATCCCCGGCCCCGGTCTCTCCTGTGCTACCTTGTCCTGTTTACTCTACTCTCGCAGTACACTACTCCCGGTGAGCCCCCTCCTATCACATCCCCTCTTCTTCCCCCCCTTTGTGTTCGTTGACTTTGCAGCTCCCCGTTGGCCCCTTGTTCCGCTCACGCGCCCTTGCTCCAAGTAGAGTTCTCGAGGCCCGGTGAACTAGCCCGGCGTCCTATTCGAGTCGAAGCTTCACATTGCCAATATATCAAGTTGCCTCGGCCAGTGCATATGGCTGTTGTCTGCTCGGTGTCACCAGCCAACATTACTTTCATCACATATTCAGCCCAGCATACGTAGCATATGCAAAGAACTGGACACCTGTCAAGATGTGACTAGGACGTTCGTTGTCTGCAAGTCGACACCGCCCTTCGCACCATAGGGCTTCGGAGCACATGTGAAAGCACTAATAGGTGTTGTTGCGCCGCGAGCATGACAGGTCCTAACAAGAAGACCTCCCGGGGAGATTATCCGTCAATCGATGCCCGTCAATCCCCGTGGGATCTTCTTCAACGTCATCTCAGCGATCGCCTTTTCATCTCTATCCGTAAGACCGCCGCCAGCCACGACTACGGATCGACTACTCCGTAGTCGACGACGACTAACAACCAATATCCGTACGGCTGGCTTATTCCGCCATCCCGTCACTGCAAACAAGCACTTCGTTCCTCCCGCCCTCTGTCTTGCCCGCCTAGCATGACCCATGCTCGCATCCACACTCGACCAGCATCTCCTTTTTCAGCCTCCATCTCGTACCCAATAATGGGGGTTTCCAACACTCATCTCCAATCGTCCGTGCTTCTTCATGCGTCGCTCCAGGGTCGAGAGAACTATTGAATTCCCAAGCTCTTCTTTGGGCAATTGAGCATGTACGCAATGCTTCGTCAATCTCATTCGCAATCTCTGGCCACGCAGCTTGCTCCGTCTTTTACCCAAAAATCATCAAAATATCCATGGCTCTTAACGTCCCCACGGTAGTAATGATATAGCACAGCCGGCATCCCATGCCTGCACCATGTCGCGTCGCCTCGCTTCGTTAATCGCCCACCGTTGCAACCGTCCTTTTTACCTTTTCGTTTCCCCGCATATCCGGAGCTTCTACACACTTCCCTCACGAGGTTAGTGCAGACCTTTCGAGGTCTTTATTGCCAGCCGAACCGGGTGCTTCCCCCGCCCGTATCGGAGGCCTGGCGACACCATCACCATGTCCTCCCTTTTCACCTTGAGGCAATTCTTCAGTCTTGAAATCGACATTGCGACTGTCTGTAACTATTGCAATCGGGGTGACTTCCATTTCCGCCAAAAGGCCCGATCGCCAGAAAGGTGTTACATGCCATTTGGTATCCCACTTTCTCTTATCCGTACCTATGATGGGCCATCACAAGTTCAAACGCAGGTGGACTTTGCGAGGGATTACCACGTCACTGTTGCGCCGTGGTCCCGGCGTCTTGTACCTGAAGATCTTTCCCGTCTCCGCGTGTTCAAATGCCGATAACCTTGTCTCCTGACCGCTATGTGTGGTGTATGATGTATTTTCCAGAGGCGCAATCTACGAATGTCCGGACCGCCTATACTAAAGCCAGCTAAGTATGACATCAAGTTAGAGGCGATCTCTGGCTGCGCAAGACAGCAGTCACGGAAGTATCTATGCTACTTCCGGCTTTTCCGAGCGTGCATGTTCGTGAGACGGGGAGAGCTTTCAATCCCCAGATTATGTTGTCCACCCTTTGAATTAAATCGTATTCGACAACCTCATCGCCACCTTAATGAACACAATTTGTTGTGGCAATCAGCTGTAAGGTATTTTAGGCTTGGCTTCTATCTTCGGGGGATAGCGATAGCCCACCATTCTTTCTCGCGGAGGTCGTGGGTCTGAAAAGTATAACTTCAAGTAGCCCAAAGAGTCAAGAGCTTGTCGCCACGTCGAGCCTAGTCACACATTACCTTCCGACTCACAACGGAGGCGCCTAAGTACAGATAGTATTTATATAGAGCAGGCATTCTCCGGGGGGTATTCTTCATGGTATACTCATTTGCTGACGGACTTTGCTCATGATTGAAATGCCTTTCGGGATTTCCGCTTCGAGATTCTACTTCCACCGAGTAGACTTGCTTGCGACATAAAGGCCGGTCACATTGTTAAGCACAATGTTGGAGGTGCTTGTTCCCTTGGGCATTTGTCAAACCCGGAGAATGGGCCAATGTTACTTGTCATTGATAGAGCCTTGGGATGTTGACGGGTAGGTCGGTACTTATAGTATCATGACAAGAAACAACAGCGGTCTTTGGCTTTGGTCACAGTGACGAGGCAATAGATTGGTTCGTATAAATACGCTTGCTAGTTTGCGTACCGAAAGTCTATGGAGATCGCATCGTCGCTTCCTTTCCAGAACTGTCGAAGGACATAAGTTTCCTTCAAAGACTTCATTACGTGATGACTTCAGAAAAGATGTCATTGATATCGTATCGATCGTCGAGTACTTACTCAGATCGCTACTTCCTAGGTCTGGTCATCACCTGGCAGGTATTTCTCACAGTATACTTGTTCCTGTATGGGCTCTGCGAGATGGAACTCCCGCTATATTGGGTCAATTCGCACGTATGTCAAAGCTCGATCAGAATAGCACTCGAGCTACGCTCATGGTAACCGATTTGCATCGAGGTCAGATTGTGTTGCGGTGAATCTCCTCGCCGCAACGGACCGTGTATATAACAGAGTCTGCCTCCGAGCCGTCAACGGTTGAATAAGGGGCAAAGCGGTGAAGTTACCGACGGGGGAGCCGGGGTCCATTTGCCAATACTAGCCTACTTTGAATATTGGAGCCGTCGAAGGTAGCGTACTTGAGAAACGCAGAGAAGATGAACCAGAAAACCCGGTTCACGTTGGCTTCATTTGTGCGGAAAATCCCAAGATGATTCTCGGTCTCGCGTGAACATCACTACTACGGCACGTCGGAATTAAGACAAGCAAAAGCGACACGGACAGGATGCGGAGATCTACAAACGCAGCTGCTGATGTAAAGGAGCGGCCTTCAAGCTCGCCTGGTTGCATCTATTCAAGTCTACGTCCAATTGTCGTAATCCGGTAGACCCTCGTCAAAGTATACCTCCTCGACGCGGTTGAAGCCTACCTCCGGAGCGTCGTATGGCCAAGGTTCGCCGTTCCCGCTGGCAAAGAGGGCGAACATGGAGCCCTCGAAGTTGGGGTACCCAGGGTTCGAGCCCATCTGCTTGGAGCTGAATGTCTTCAACCATGTGGACGAGGTCGCATTGCCGCGCGAGTAGCCCAGAGAGTACTCAAGGGGCGAGGCACGGATGTGAAGTGTTAGATCAGCGGGGATCGTTAACTCGCCGAGAGGGTATTCGGTTGACTAGAGGTAAGTTAGGGACATCAGCACATCATTAGCCTCTTAAGAATGCGGGAGAACTGACATTGGGTCGAGTTGTCGGACCGGTCGAAGTCGGCAACAGGTCAACGTACAAACACAGCCCCGTCGTATTCCAACATCCTCGGACACCGATGTCTTGATGATTGACTTCACTCAGATACGACGCAATCCCAACCGACTGTCTCGGCCCCAGCCCAGCTGACGTCGACGACAGTCTCGCCGAGAAAGTCATATTCAACGACGTCTGCTTTCGAAGCACAGCAGCAGCCGTGTCCCGATCTCCAAGCGTGAAGACATTGGGATTGAACACGATCCCCGAGTCGTTGGCAACCACTCTCTTCCCGAACGCACCCGTCGTCGCACCCTTGAGCCGGAAGTTCTCCGTGTAAGGCGTCCGCTGCTGATACCAGCTGATGCCCAACTCGAGCCCCGTAAAGTCGTCAACCCACTTTGCCTTGGGATACTCCTGATTCGGTCCTTCGACGATCTCACTCAGCAACAGAGGCTTTCCGCCATTCATCGTCGGCCACCCATCCTCCCAGTCAACTTTGACCAGGAACGCCTCGCGACCGAGCGGCGACGCGCCCTTCACGTTTCGTCTTGCCAAGAGGGAGGCGTACCATTCCCCGTCCGGCGTGTCAGTGAACGTCGCATGGCCAGTCGATTGCACCGTAAGCTTCGGATCGGCGCCATTGTAGATGAGTGGGTTCGTCGGAGAAGATTCCCATGGGCCCTGGGGTGAATTTGAGCGACCTATCGTCGCGCGGTGGCCTGTACTCGTGCCGCCTTCCGCTAGGAGGAGGTAATACCACTCGCCGCGTTTGAACATCTTGGGACCTTCCGGTCTGGAGCTAGGCAGCTGCGGAAGCGTGCCGTTCCAGATATTGCGGTAGCGACCGATGCACTTCCCCGTCGCAAGATCGATCTCGCACTGCGTTATGCCCCATAGACGGTCATAGTTGTTATTAGGCCCCATGAGGTTGAGGTAGGTCTTCCCCGTGGCCGAGTCATGAAATAGATCCGGATCGATGCCATAGGGCTCCGCCCAGGTTAGAGTCGACCAGGTGACAAGGTCCGCGGAGGAGATGTACCATATCCGCGGCCAGGGGCGGGAGTCCGGATCGGAGCCCCATCGTGTCATGGACGTGATGTAGAAGAGGCCATTGTGGTGGGAGAAGGAAGGGGCCCAGACGCCCTCGCCGGCGGAGACGCCGTAGAGGGCGAGAACGGAGGGGTCTTGTAGGGCGTGGGAGACGAGGTCCCATTTTGCGAGGTCGGTGGACTTGTAGATTGGGATGCCGGGGTAGTAGGTGAAGGAGGAGACGGCCATGTAGTAGGTGTCTTGTACGCGGAGGATGGCTGGGTCGGGGTTCCATCTGGGGATGTATTAGTGAGTTTGTCTTGAGGTTATGGAAGAGGATTGGGGGCTTGACCCTGGAAGAATTGGGTTTTTGATGGCTGAGACGAATGCTGCTAGGAGCAGCGTCGCTCTTGCGAGGAGCTTCATCGCGTAAAGTCAGAGATGTAGCTTTGCTACTTCGAACTTGCAGCCGACCTCACAAAGACTCACATGTCTGTAAATGGAGCTCGACCTCTCTTATACAAGCGACCGACGAGGGGTGCAAATTCCCAGCTCTAATAAGTCAGAACACCCCTGTATACAAGCGTCCTAGCTTCCGCCCGGCCTTCGGGCCTGTCCGAGCGAACCCCCGATGCGCGCGGTGATGGGTCCGCGACGCGGGGTATATCATCGCGGGGGAAAATTGGCCGGGTAAAGCGAGATTTGCAGGCGCTTTCCGATCCGTGAGCAGATCCCACCTTGAATGGAGCTGCGAATGCCCTGCCAATCACGTCATGGGCATCAAAGTGATAGGCGGAAATCTGTTACACCGTTGCTCTGTACTGCAGTCTCTATCTCAATGTCCTTGGCATCGCTTTTGCTTTACGATGCTCCCTGGGCTGAGCCTTATCGTTTTTGATTTGGCCCTGTCGGTCTTTCCATAACATCAACATCGATCTCAGCTCAGAATAAGATATGACGGGTACTTTGAAGAACTGATTAATTCGTGGGCCTACCAGGCACCTGGATCTTTAACCCTTGAACAGTGCATTTTCCGTCTTCCGGACCAGTGAAACTTAAAGTCAATATCAACCCATCTCACCTGTAAGTGTAGAGCGCTTACAACACGGAATCGATGTATTTTTTTGGCTTCCATTTACATTCGCATAGCCTTGCTACCTAGATCCTAGTGTAGTGTGGCCTCTATCATAGTTTCTATCATGCGCAGACGGTCGCCTATGTCCAGGCCTACGTAGAGTCCAACACGACGGTATGTCCCATCTTGCACCCTTCCAAGAATCAAACCTTGTGAGTTTTTGCCTAGAAGCTGGTCGTGATGATCTAGCGGAATGTCATCTTCCATCACATAACCAAGTATATGGAAACAAATGAACTCCGAAGGCAAGTCTTTCAACGAATGCAACTCTGCTCCAGAGTCGAAGCGCATTTGGACATGCCAAGGCGTAACAACTTCGTTCATACGGCCAAAAGCCTTGCCTCGTAAGGTAATGCATCCTGATACGACACCTCCAAATGGTGCGACGTCGATGACAGGCTCCACTGAGACAGCGACCACTTCCGGCAATGGCGAGAGACCTATGCCGTTCGCCCGCGATGTAATTGCTAGCTTCCTATAGTCAACGAAGTCTTCGCTATCTAACAGCGAGGGCACTTGCTTTTCCTGTTCAGATTGTGTAAGTGTCCACGAGTCAAGGTGGGTTAAGTCAGGCAAGTGCCAGACGACGGCTCCTGGAAAGCTCGCCCAGGACCAAGACGGCGCTATGTAGGAGGAAGACAGCTGCGGAGCGAGGGGCTTCTTTGGCATCCATAAGAGTTGTAGTGGGAGGAGAGGCGTATTCCATAGCCCCGCAGCGTACGGAGATGTGTCGATATCATCCAACGGGTTGACCATGTTTCCAAGTGTTTGGGCAACTCCTGAGATGGCCAACAGCCGGTCTTCAGGAACGGAAAGTGTCCGCTGCGAGAACTCTTCCACAACCTTGGACCATAGCTGGAAGATTGCTTCGAGAGGTGGATAAAGAATAGCATGAGGATCTGAGATTAGATGCTCGGGGTTTCTTGGGTTACAGCCATAGCTTGTGTTGTGGGCGATCCTATCCCTGTATCCCACCCAGTGACGGGTCTTGAACATGCGATCCCGGAGTGATGCAGCACCTGAGCTTGGACCGAATCTAGTGGTCATACAAGCCCAGGATATCCGGCGAGTGCCAAAGGAGACCAACCGAGTGGCCAACAGAGACTCTTGCAATGTCCAAGCCCGGGTATCGATATGGTCAATCTCGTCTCGCGCCTCACCACGGAAGAGCTTGAAGCGTCTCTTGGACGAGTTATCAGGGCGAGGGTCACCGGAAAAAGGGAAGTAGAATCCTACATAACCATCCGGTCCTGTCGTGTTAGGCGGGCTGAGGAATCCTTCAGCACAACTTTTCGCTACTGCCGCAGAAATTGTGATTATAGAGTTGGCGTAGTAATGAGCCATATCACCGACCTCTCTGGCTAAAAGGGCAGGATCGTTTTGAACAATGCAGAGGCTGTCAACCCAGAGGAGTTTTACACCCAAATGTCGGGTGACATGAATCGCGTCCTGTATAGTTTTGGGCAGGTTTCTGACTTCTATTCCTCTCTGATGTCGAGCCAAGTTGACTGTAGTGGTCTTGATGGTCTGGTCCAGGCCCCAGCAGTAGGAGAGAGCAACGTATGGATCAACTCTTTTGCTATGGGCTTCTCTGATACGGACAGTTTTCTCGTCCCCGGGGGACAATTCGATGAACCGCAGAGGCCGAGTACCTGTTCTTTGTCGACAAGACGGGTGTGATTCAAGGCATACCTGGAGTCGACGACGAATTTGAGCGATGCCGCTCTCTGAAAAGGTCCTATGGTTTGCCCTACGGAATCATCCGCGCAGGGGTCATCTGTACAGCTTCAGCTTCAGCAAGACATATAGATAATGAGCGCTGACGCCAATAGAAACTCAACTTACACGCGTCAGACTCAATGTCAAAAGTCCCCCCTGTTGGACTCCAAGAGTAGTCGCTCGTCGACAGAAAAACCGAGCATTTAGTAGCGTCGGAGATAATTCCATTGACAGATTCAATCACCAAGCAAATCCTTGTCCGCAAGAGTTGCTCAGGCGGTGTCCTGGACTTCTCGACCTGTCCCCATATCCAGATGAAGAATGGGCATCCTTCAGCGTTAGCAGCGGCAACCTGCCGCATGCTCTGAGGCAAAAGATTTCTCCACCTAAGGCTCCCTCGTTGACGTGTCTTCAGTGGGTCGCTATGTAGCGACACCCATCTATTGATTCTCTCGGGGGCAACACTTGATGTTGATATAAGAGCTGAAGCACAATGACGACACGTGTGACCCGCGGTCGAGAATGCGGAAAAATCGGCAGGTTGCAAAGATTCGCTGCGCCATGGGTGGTGAAAGTGTCGTTCGGCGTAGAATCTATCCATTTCGCTGTCCGATTTGGTTGGATGATATCCTGCTTCAGAGGATTCCAGGAAATCTTTTTGAATACAAGAAGTTTAGATCGGGCTTGATTACGAGTTTACTGAATTTTCTAGACTCTACCGGAATTTGAAGAGTGGCCGGGAGAAATCTTTCAGGTGCAGCTATGGGTGTTTGATTAAAATGAGGCTGAATGTCCTTAGTCGGAGGCCGCCTAGCACGTGATCTATGTGTGACCTCGATTCCAAGCGTTCGCGAACATCATGAGTAACATACTATCGACTGAAAGTTCTGACTTTCAATGTGAGGGATTGTGTAAAGATGGCTTCGATACCGGATATCATATTTCCTTCTCTTTGATCAATGTAGTGCTGTGTAACTACAGAAGTGATAGTAAACGCATGACAATTTCGCCATATGAATTATACGTTAGTCTTTCTAGGTTAAAAGAAACTTACGCTGCAGCTTGTCTAAAATAACTCACTCCTAATTTGCTGGTGTGATTGACTCACACTGACGACATCAATTGGTGATTCCGCGAGGATGTCGGTCTAACGCAGGTTTGGCAAGTTGGGCGACCTTCTGAGCTTGCATTGTGAGCAAGAAAAAAACCACCGTTGTACTATAACATTGGTATACTATAAATTCATTCGTTGTGTTTCTCGTGACTCCCTTAGAGTGCGGGTTGTCATAATATCCTACTTCGTCCATTACAAGCAGGCACCTGGGACGACATTCAGAAAACGGTGTCTCTGTTCGCAAACCCTCCACAAAGAAGCGATATAGATACCTTTACCGAGGACAAGGAATCCAATTGAACTTGCAGAACGGAAGACAACAGGCCATATGTTAGTCTTTGACCTTGAGCACCATAGTCCCTGGACCCTGAATGACTTCATTGTGCCCCCGCTTGGGTTGGTTAAACTCTATTCTAAGCCGTGGGTGACGGTAACGTCAAGACATCGGGATCTGTGATTTAAGATATTCTGCTGTAAACAGTTCAACCAGGCATAGAGGCTATGTTGTTATTAATGAATTACTTAAATGTCGTACTTTACAACGTCAGAGATCACTTGGCAGGCAGGTAATAGGCATTAGTGCCTGAATGCAATGCGAGGGCCGCCAGTACCCGCCGGCGCCCGATATGGTGTTAGTGTCTCAGTGTTTATTAGGCCGATAAGGCGCTCCGGGTGCCGTCGCAGGTGCCCACCGCCTCCTCAGTGACATCGTCGGAGCTCCCCGCGACTCCTATTAGATAAGTGCGGAGTCGCCCTGCTCGTCCTTTATCTTTGTGCATACATCGCTCACGAGGGTTTCTCAACACCGTCATACCAATTTTCACATCTAACTTATTCAGATAAATCACAATGGATTCCGAAGTCGAATACCTTCTCTCCCTGCGCGCCATCCGGGAGCGGGCGAAGATCGTTGGGGATGTTGCCAAAGCTGGGAACTTGAGCCACTTTGAAGTTCGGGAAGATAAGCTGGATGAGGTGGTCGATTTCGTGGCTTCAGTTATCAAGGTCAGGACCCATTCTCCTTTCACATCGAAACCTCATGCCTTAGGCCTAACATGAGCTCTGTAGCGTGACTACGGGCCAGACAAGTTCCATACAATCCCTCCTCATGGGCGTTGGCAGCACTTTGAAGTCGGCAATGTGCCCCGCGTTACCAACATTATAGAAGAGTGGAAGGCAAATGGAAGCGACGAGACCGAGGTCACCCGTCGCCTCATCGACCTCTTTTTTGTCTCCGTACTTTTGGACGCCGGTGCAGGTGATCATTGGCGATACAAGGAACCCAAGACCGACCAGGTTTATGAGCGCAGCGAAGGCATCGCCGTGGCTAGTCTCCACATGTTCAACGCCCTGGCCTACACAACGTCAACTGACAAAGCCAACCCTATAGTCGATGGTAATTATTGCAAATTTCAAATCAAAACTGTAAACATTTACTAATTACTCCCACGCATAGGAAAGGGCTTGGAGCGCTTGGAGACAAGTGCACTTGCAGGAGGTTTTCAGGTTTCAGACAGTAACCCCATGCTGGGAGTTGACTCTCGCGCCGGTCTCCTTCGGAGCCTAGGACAGTCACTTTTGGCCCATCCCGAAGTATTTGGAGCCGACGGCCGCCCAGGCAACCTCGTCGGTGCGTTTGATGCCGCCGCCCCTAAGATACCTACTGCGTGCTAACAACGAGTAGACTACCTGGTCAAGTCTGCCAAGGGATCCTCCAAAATCGACGTACTCTATCTCTGGGACATTCTGCAGACTCTTTTGATTCCTGCTTGGCCCAAGGATCGCACAACTATTGGTGGAACACCCATCGGCGATGCCTGGCCGTTGAGCACTTTACGCAAGGGAGCAGAGGCCGGCAGTTCCGACTCCCCTGCGGCCGGCATTCAACCTTTCCACAAACTGACACAGTGGCTCACCTACTCCCTCATGGTTCCATTCCAACGGGTACTCGGTCTGGAATGGGCCAATGCTGACTCTCTCACGGCCTTGCCGGAGTACCGCAACGGCGGCCTGTTCGTCGATATGGGTGTTCTGGCACTGAAGAAGGAGACACTGGAGCGAGGCCTGAAAGCATCGGGCAGCGAGCTGCCAATGTTCGAGGCTGGTGACGATGTCATCGTGGAATGGAGGGCAATGACGTTGGTGCTGATCGATAGCCTCTATGGCAAGATTCGATCTCGCATGGGAGAGGGTGTCGAGCTGAGCATGGCACAGCTGCTCGAGGCAGGGACATGGAAATCTGGGCGGGAGACGGCAGCAAAGTTCCGGCCGCAGACTAAGTCAAGCCCAATTCTCATCAAGAGCGATGGCACTGTCTTCTAGAGCTACATGGGATAATGGTGCATCAAGGAAGGGCGGTCTGCTTAAAAAAAAAAAAAAAGGGAGCTGCCTCCAAGCTTGCTTAGTTTGGCAGAGAGACTAGTCGAACCCGCATACCCGTGATTCCAATTGCCGGGACATGCTTTCTTCTCTCGATGCTAGTAGAAGGGGATTGATTGGTCCTCGACCTGGACAAAGGAGGGGAAACTGGAAATCTGTGGCTTGTTTAGATTCGAAGATCGTCACCGTGGCGCGCACCGTCTCCAATAATCGTGGTGCTCTAATCCCCCAGATACTCAGCTAGGCTTCGTAGGCCAGCAACCAGAATAATATGATGCTACTGGGTGCTTCTGATTACCCTTTGCACATGCACCTTTTCTGTGATGCATCTTCTCTTCTGCTCGCCACTCTCGTACATGAGATCAAATCCCCCCCCAGCATGAAGCTACCCGTTCTTGACCTTGTCTACTCATTACGCGCGACAAATGCGGGGGACTTTGGATACCAGTCAACCTATGATGTTTCTTGTACTAGGGACGGCATCTGGGGAACCGGCTGCGGATTCGACAATGTGCGCTGTCCATGTGACGCAGACAAGCAGGAGGCCATGGCATTGGTTCTGATATCATGTCGGGTCACACGCACACCAGTTGATATTTCGAGTAAGCCATACAGCCAATCGGTCTCTGTTTGTAATATCTGAAAATCTGACCTCGATAGGAGCTCGAGATGCTGTATCATCAGCATGTGCTCATTTAGCCAAGAGGAGAGCTTCAACCACAGGGCCCCCGTCTACATCCAGCATACCAAGAACCGTTGAAGTTGCCGTCGAGCAGCATGTATCGGCAAGAAGCGCTTCTGTGAGCCAACAAGATCAACTTGGTGACACAGTATCAACAAAGAGCGGGATGTCGACTGGAGCCATAACAGGCATTGCCGTTGCAGTGGTTGCGGCCGTCCTCCTGGTACTAGCCTTGGTGTACTTGGGACGCAAAAAGAGGAGGACCATTTTTGAAGAGGCTGGGTACGGCGGCGGGACTGCGACTGAGTTAACCGGGAAACGCAGTCCTGTACATGGGATAGGGACAGAAAGGACCATATCTCGAGAAGCACCATCGTCAGCTTACTAGCTCAAGAACCCTTGTAATCAGGTAGCTCAAAGGGACTTTCTGGACGGGAGGCCGTCTTAGTATATCGATGGGCCGGCCCCTCCATTGGTGTTAATGTTAATATGGGCGACTAGCAAAAGAATGGGGGCGAAAATGGCGCTGGTATCTTAAAACAGACCTGAGGACAAGGCGGATAATCGAATAATGTTCAATGAGTAGCTACATTGCCAATCAATGACATGCCTTGCAGCCTTGATGTAGGGTGTTGGTATGAGTCCAGTCAGCCAACATACAGGCCGACAGCCTGCCAGGAAACCGCCGGTTTATTGTTTTCTACTAACCAGACGTAGTTCTGAACAAAATTGTGAGGAGATACCAGGACGTACAACCTAGAAACTGCAAACACGGTACTTTTGAAGTCACAGGCAGGACAAAAAGCGTTGGGCGCAATTCCAAAAATGATGCTGTGACCGTGGCAGGGCTCGAACCTGCGACCTTCTCGGGGTCAAGTGCACATACTTGTGAACGAGAAATCATAATCCACTAGAACACACAGCCGCGATGGTGGATATGGGGCCATTTTGGGTCTAAGATGCTGCAGGTCTCCGAAGTGGATAATTGCTCGTGATCCGTCTCGGTGTTACGACCAAAAGAGAGGTTTCTCGTACTCAGGCTAAGAAACAACATGTTGAAAGAGGTCAAGAATGCGTAGTAGCGGAAGCCAGAACTCATGGTGCTTCTTAGCGCGAGACGTGTGTCATCACGCACCATGCTTTGTGTAATTGTGACAACCCCATGATTTGACTCTGTTGCTTCAAGCAATCGTTTGGTCCGACTGGTAATTCCATGGGCGTGTGGTAAGAACTATGAGAATAGGAAATGTGAAGTGCTTATGCCGTATCGTGTGTGACAAAGTAGTCATCAAGGGCTTCCCTAATTAATCAGGTCTATTCTTATCCGAGTGCCATATTCGTCTTTGAGACATATCAGTCTGTACACGGCAGAAGAAACTTAGAAAGTGTAGTAGAGGTTGAGAGCAATATCGAGTTGAAGGAATCAGAAACAGAGAGTTGCAGCCTGTAATCGAACTCAGAGCCTTCAAAGAGAGAATCCACTCAGGGCCAAGCTCCAGGTGTTGATATTAGAAGTGAGTGGTTACAACTAATGCGAAAGACATCTCCCCATGCGGTGGTGGCAGATTAATGAAATAAACAACCAATAAAGCAAAGCTGTGGAGCCATTCTCGGTGATATTTCTGCCGATTATGACGCTTCTGTGTAAGCTACTATTGTTTAAAGTCCTAAAGTCGAGGATTTCTCTTTTTTTAGATCAATTCGCATATGTAGCTCCTTTACATCAATACGACTTGCAGTGTGCAACGATTTGTCATTGTCAACCGTAATATGCCCAAGGGCTCTGATAGAAATAAGCACAGGATGTTGCCGTCTTGCAATAGCATCAAAGCTCATATGCCAACTCGACGACATGAGTCAGAGAACTGCATCAGAGAATGCTGACGAGATTTTGTCCAGTTAATTGTCCGACAACACGAATGACTGCACAATACAATTCTCCAGCAATACTAAGCTAATATAGTCGGAATTGGATGTATCAGTTTGACTTTCAGCCCTGTAGACCGCCAAGTACACACGAAACCGGATGAAGCCAGTTTATGTCTATCCTTCCCACCTTTAAACGAACGTTTTCGCGACTTTTGATTAGAGGGGGCAGATAGCCTCAGCGCACAGATCCGAGACCCCCATAGAAATTGCTGAACCCAGTAATTCTCATATTCATAAATTAGACTGGTTATTAATTCGGTCTTTGGCTTCCACCCAGGGAATCCGCGTATCACACGGGCCGCGACAACGTCTTGAAGTCCGCTCCCCGTACGTTTCCACTTACGAGTAAAATTTCGTATGTATAATGTGAGGGTTTTGATTGAATGAAAGAAGTTGTTCATTTACATGCAATAAGTTTTGGACTAGGATGCTGTATCAGGTCCTCTTATATAAGTTGATATGGAGCAGCAAACCTTCGCAAGTTAGCCAACCTTTTTGTTCTCTTCAACTCGAATTACACGTCATTCATTAACCTTTCACCATGTTTCCATCATTGTTTTCTTCTTTAGCTGTTCTTACCACCGTCGTTTTGACGGCTCAGGCCGCTCCGATGCCGGCATCGTGTCGCGCGACATCCAGTACCCTGGCCGGCATAGGCATGTGCTTCGAGCCCTCTGTGGGGTGCAACCCAGGCCAGAGGTTCGGAGAGTACATTGCGAGGAATATCCGACACGAGAAGGGCATCTGCACGACGACAGTCGAGGTGAGTTGACTCTTAGACTTGGTATCGGATTGAATGCTAACTCGTGGGATAGTTCACTTGCTGTACGAAGTGAGGTGTTTATCAGGAGGACGACAGTACTGCTTGATGCAGGTGTAATCTCTAGGGAAATCACGTAGTGGTACGAGAGACCCTTTAAGTGATACGGATGTACACGCATTTGCTTGGGAGCTCCTTGAGGATGAACTCATTTCATCTCACTTTAATATTCTACTTGACATATATTGCATTCGTCCGGCATAGCCCATCGCAGCTGCAGTATCTGCGTCATTGTCAGAGAGTCACAATTAGCAATGAGATAATTCAACTTACGTGGCGCAATGGCATAAGTAGCGTCATTCATTACAACCTCTCGCCTGCTATTGTCCTTTAGCCCTAACAAAGAGGCAACCTTTGGATTGATAGAACTTTTGATGAAGTATTTGGACAATGTTGCCAATAATGCGTGGGTAAAACGCCACAAAACGCATATTTCCATTTCCATAGCCAATGACTTTGGTCGTCGTCTTATCGTGATGCAGTGTGATCCGTGTTCATTGGCTCTGCAGCCTCTGAACCCTGGTTGGTGGTGGCGATGCCCTGCTTCAGCTTCTAGCTCTATGCACCGCCGGTAAGGCGCATCCGACGCGTGCCGTCAGCGCCTACGGCGTGGGATCAGGTCCCCCGGCTTCACTTTCGTACGACCCTCCTTGGTGGTATGTCAACTATGATATAGGTACCGCGAGTTCCTGTAATCGCAAGGATGACTCTCCTAGAAAGGTCCAAGACCTAGCATGGCAAATCCAACTCAAGCTTGCAAACATGCAATATAACTACATCCATCCACGCTCATGATCTCCGCCGTCGCAGCCTATCTCCTCCTGTCACCTCCCTTCGCAGCAGCGGCCCCTCCCTCATCCACGACCAACTGGGCTCCCGAACCAAACGGTCGCGGCACCTTTGGTCTAATCTGCTCCTGCGTCCTCACCCTCACGATATGCGTCTGGACGGCACTCCACCTCAACGTCCCCGCCGCGCGCTCTACCCTTCGGAGGCGGTCGTTGGAACGGACAAAGTGGGTCCTCTACGGCATCTTCGCGCCGGAGCTCGTGGTCGCCACGGCGGCGGCTCAGTATATTGTGGCAAGATGGCTCAAGAGGGAGATTGAGAAGGATGCTGCGAATCGGAGGGGTGGAGGAGATGAAATGCCTGCCGATAGGGAGGAGACGAGGGCGTTTTCGAGGCATACTTGGGACATGACGCAGTGTTTTTACGCTGTGATGGGAGGGTTCGTCGTCAATGTGCCGTCTGCCGAGGTCGAGACGGCGCTCAGGAGAGTGACAGTCACGCCAGAGGGTATCAGGCTCCTATCCTTCATCGGAAAGCTGCCGCAGATCCACGAGTCGCAGATCCAGGATAAGAGCAAGGCGGATTGGATGGCCAAGTCGCTGGTGTGCATACAGGCCGGCTGGATGGTCGCCCAAGTCATCGGTCGGCTCATCAAGAAACTCCCCGTTTCGCTGCTCGAGATCAACACCTGCGGGCACGTTGCTTGTGCCGCCCTGCTTTATCTGCTCTGGTGGAGCAAACCCCTGGATGTGCTTGATCCCACTGTCCTGGACGAGGGGAACGAGGAAGCCATGGCGTTGATGATGTTTTGCTCGTCGATGAGCGCCGTCAACGGCGTAACTGAGATCCGGTGCTTCATGTACATACCGCCCGAAGACGCGGGCACGGAAGGGGTCAGAAAGGAGAATAAGGACAAGGTCCTCATCACGACTTATTTGTCTATCGGCTCACCTGGCACCAGGGAGCCCTCTCGGTTTCTCGGCTTCGATGTTAGTGACCTCCGCCCCCACTCGTCGCCGGTGGACGTCGACATTCAGCGGAAAAGAGTGTCCCGAAGCGCATACATGTACCACATCGACCAGGCGAAACCGACAGTATCCCCGGAATGCCAGCAGAAATACTTCGCTCCACCCTACACCGAGCTCAGTCTCCGGCACGGTACGATCTATTGTCGAAGACTCTTTGCAGATGTACAAAGACACGGGAAATCTCACATGCCCGTCAATCCGATACGACTGGCGCAAGCTGCTTCAGCCGCAGATTCTCTCTGGGCAGAATGCATATCCCGCCCGACGTACGCTCAATTCTACTTCACCTCCGTGCCGACCGTTGGCGTCTTCCTCGGCGAGACGGATTACCTTGTCCCACACATAGTCAATTTCCCGTCCATGTCGAACCTCGGGCTGGGCCAAGTCAACATCCACCGTGACGTCCTGCGGTCGGTCCTCGCTCTGACGGCAGCAGCGTATGGCGGCCTCCACCTCGCGGGCTGTCTCGACCACTTCCCGACGACGATTGAGCGGACTCTCTGGCTGGCTGCGTCTTTGGTGATCACATCCTCGGGCGTGGCGTTGTGGGTCTTCTTCCTCGCTCGACAGGTTTGGCCGCGGTTCGATGTGTTCATTTCTGGTGCAGCTCCGGGGGCGCAACTGGCGGGGACGACGTACCAGAAACCGTGGATGAAGAGAGTAAAGTTATTTGTTCTTTGTTTTGTTCTGCTGTTGTTTGTTGTGGCGAGGGTGTTCTTGGTTATTGAGGCGTTTATCAGTCTGCGCGAGGCTCCTGCGTCATTGTATGAGACGCCGGAGTGGTCTGATTTCTTTCCGCATTTTTAGTGGTAGAGATGGTGAATAGTAGAAAGCTGCACGTCGTGATTCTGGAATCACTCCGATCTCAAATCAAGTTGCATGATGTAAATGGCATGAAGAAAGGGTAAATACTGTATTGTGATAGGAAAACGGCGTATAGGCCTGGGATGATGATCACGTCGGGTTGACAAAACGCCTACATGCAATCGTTGGGTATCTTCTGATATCAATATAGATCTTCGGTCAACATAGGAAATGCACTGCTAGTGTGAAGCAAAAGTGGAAGCAAAGGGAATGTCTGCGCATCAAGTCTTGAACTTCCATCCCTCAATAAGTCGTGCAAGTTTCAAGTGACCTTTCTGTCTGGCGAGGCCTGCAGCAGTACCTTGGCGATACTTCGCTTTCGTTTTATAGTCTTGAAGGGACTCGAAGACGGCGCTGGCATGAACCAACCTCGCGCCATGTTGTAACAATAGCTTCACTGTTGCGTACTGACCCTTGACAGCCGCATAATGCAGCGGTGTTGCGCCGTGATGATCGCGCTCACGAACATCTAGTCCAAGGTCCATCAGAAGCTTTATCATTGCGGGATGCGCTGTGCCGAAGAACATCAGGTTCGCCCCTGACATTGACCGAGCTCTGAGGTACGCTCCGGCGGCGAGGAGAAGTCGCACAGTGTCGAGGTGCCCTGCTCTCACCGCGGCGAAGAGTGGGGTGAACCCTGGCCAGGTCCTGGTGTCGAGGTCGACGCCCGTGCTAATCATTGTCGCAAGAACGTCGTTCTGTCCGTAGTGGGCTGCAAGATGTAGCGGTGTCATGCTGGAGTTTCGCAGCAACGGGGTCGTGAGGTCTGCACCACCTCGGATGAGGGCGATTGCAATTCGTGTGTTGCCGGCTTTGAGCGCCTGGCATATGATTCTCTCTGCTCCAGGAGCGGAGTGGTCTACCTCAGCACCGACCTCGATCAGAAATTGAGCAGCCTCGAAGCATCCCAAGTGCATCGCGATCGTGAGAGGTGTTTCTCCATGTTCTGTCGTTGGGTCAATCCGTGATCCGGCTTTAAAGAGAAGTTGCAGCACCTCGACTCGGTTCTTATGGGCTGCCATGTGAATTGGTAGATACCCCTCGCTGCCAGCAGCATCAAAGTTGGCACCCCGAGAGAGGAGGAGCTTCATTGTACGCAGATCCCCGGCTGAGGCAGCCGCGAGCAACGGGAAGTTGCCCTTTGAGCTCGGCAAGTTAATGTCAGCCCCGGCTCCGATCAGCACCTCAGCGATATCTGGACAAGCTGTAGATATTGCGTACGTCAAGGCGGTGTGCTCATTCACACGTCGATCGAGGTAGGCGCCCTGATCTGATAGGAACTCCGTCATCGGGGTGCTTCTCATAGATATGGCGACATGGAGCGCTGTTCTGCCATTTTGTAGTCGGGCTTCCAGGTCCGCACCATATTCGAGAAGCTTTTCGATAGCATTGAAGCGGTAATTCTGAACAGCCGCTATGAGAGGCGTTCGTGTCCCCAAATCTCTGCGGTCAACTTCACCCCCAGCACGGATGAGCACCTCCAAGGTGTCATCATATTTGGCCGACATGGCGGCGTAGTGTACTGCCGAGCACCCCAGTGTATCGACGGCATTGACATCTGCACCGAGCTCGCACAATAGCGAGACGACCTTGTCGGAGTATCCATACTTTATTGCCGTGATCAGTATTGTGTCGCCCTCGTCTCCTCGACTCTCGAGATCTGCTCCGGCGATAGCTATGAAAGTGACTAGAGATGGAATTTGGCGATTCAAAGCTCGACGAAGAGGACAAAGTTTCGAGCCAAAGCGAGGCGCATTCGGATCGATGCGCTGTAAGAGGAGCTTCACCACGGCGGCTTCATCTCCACGATCGATTGCATCGTGTAAGTCTTTTGTTGTTCGCATGCTCTGCTTGTATAGTATGCCCGGCGGTGGTCTGAGTCTCTTCAAAGCCGAACGAACTTCGAAGGAATCATTGACGGGGGTGATTTCTGCCTCTGGCCTTGGTCGCGGACCGATGGTAGATAGACGCAGTCGACTGCCTTTATTGAGTACTGCCGGGCTGATCGCACAATCCCACGACACTAGGCGGGATGAGTGCATGAATGTAGAGTGGTTTTTGGATGTCACATGTTCGCTGTTTTGGTGAGCAACGTCCGCGCAACTGGCCCGAGTTTGGCATACCTTGGAACACAATTTAGAAGAAATGTAAGAGATTGACGGTTGGTCTTTAGCTGGCGTTGAATTTGCCTGAGAGAGTCTTCGTTCCAAATGATGGTGATTTGTCCCGATGACATGTCGACAGCACTATCGCTCGTCGCCGGGCGAATTCGTGTACTGTAGAAGTCGAGAGACGACAGGTCTGTGTTGATCGAGTCCAAGGCATCCTGGCAGGATTGGTCGAGAAGGATTGGGTCAAAAACGAGGGTTTCCGGTATCGTTTCGCGCAAGTACTTGAATCGTCGGAGAGCATCTGTCACGGCGCTACACTCCTTGGCGAGATCAGACAGCGTCACCGGTGCCGTATTGAGGCTATTGGCGACGGTGCTGTACCGGTCGGTAAGAAGCTGTGATGTGCGTATTAGGTCGGCCAAGCTGGTGCCGGACTGGCGTCCCGGGGAGTCCATGACCGGTCACCTTAGCAGGTGAACATTTCTGTGCGGATTTCCATCAAGATCGGAGAAGAGACCCGTCACCCCTCGAAGGAGGGAGGAAACGCCCTCTTTTAGGTTGGATCAGAAGAGGGATGATGGGGAAACATGTCGCGGGGCCAGGGAACCGAATCTGGCAACGGCCCATTCCTTCAGCAAACCAGTACCAAACGGTTCGCACCCGATACGGTATTTGGGGCGATGCTAGCCAGGGGAGACTATTGAGTGCAATTTGGCGAGATGAAGAACAGGCGAGCCCAGAAATCCGGGAGCTTGTCAGGGCATGGTGGTCACGCTAGGACAACGACCCCTCGGGACGATTGTTCAAGAATCGCATCTTTGAGGACGGAGAGAACGTAGGCTGGTTGGAACCACGAAAACATCAAAGTCGAAACACGCCAGGCTCAATGCTTGAGGCGGTTATATTGAGATCAACCGGGAGATGATGGCCGGCTCGTCATGGAGGTGGAAACAGCACTTGATTCCCACGGCTCCATATTGGTAGGGTTGCAAAGGACAAACCTTGACATGCGCTAGACGTGGGTAGGGATAACTGCATCGTCGTCCGTGTGTTTCCCAGGGGTCTGGATGGCATCCGTGGGTAGATTCAACTTGAAGCCAGGAGACGCGGTTGACACTTGTCAGAAAGCACCGTGGCGAATCCAAGACCGATTTCGCGGGGTTGAAGATTGCTGTTTATTGCGTGGCTTCTCGAACTATCGAAATCTGACAGGGCGCTAAAGCAATGTCTGCGTGGCGTTGAAGCAGAATGTCTTGAGTGTTGGTGTCGGGTCTGAGCGGGCACACGTGGGTGGGAGGTCGAGAAGTGGGAGTCTGGGAGAGACAGAGAGACAAACCAACGACGAAGAAAGTTGATCCCTGAATTCCCACGTCGGAGGCTTGGACCATGCATGCTGCGTTGTGGATCCGTTTCCGTGAAGCTCAGACCATCCGTTCCGCACCGAAGATCTTCCGCCGTGACTCCACCAGGACCTGACCAGCCTGAATGATTCGATTATACGAGGTGGGCCATCAAGCGTAGAAGTGATTGGCCCATCACTGACACCCAGTCGGAGCTCTTCCAATGTTTCCGTCCTTAGGAGTACGTACCGCTGGGTGTCCCCGAGCTCTCAAGAGAGCTTACCTACGGCTCTCCGTCTACGTAATCGAGTTTGCGGTGGCCACCACTTCATTAACTCAGCCTTTGGACTTGTAATTCTGATACATTACGTGCTGGAAGGGCGCAGTCGAAATCGCTGTCCACCGAACCAAGCATCTTTTTCACATAGATATTCACGCTGGCGAACATACTTTGGAAGAAAGAGTCGTCATCCGCGACGACCGGCGCAGTCCGCTCCAACCCCACGACTGGCGACATCATGACCCAACCGCCGGCCCAACCCCATCTTACACCACAGTTCTGCTTCTCGACAGGAGCTCTAAGGGGTAAGTTGGACCATGCTCGTGAACTGGTAGATGCTCGACACTAACATGCTTCTCAAGACTTTCTAAGGCTGTCTCGTGCCACGGTCGACGACTCCATCACTCAAAACCTCAATGCGCTCGTAACACCCGCGCGAGCCGGCTTCGACCCTAACTCGACCTCACAACGAACACCGCGTTCCTTCCCTCGACAGATAGACCCACAAGCATGCCAGAACTTCAAGGACCAGGTGCTCTTCCCGACATGGCATGCGCGAGCTGAAGTCTTGCACTATTGCGGAGTGGTTGCGACAAGCCCAGACCCAGACGATCCGGAGGCTCTATTACGGCAGATTGAGGCTGCAAAGGACAAGGAGCGAGTTGTCAACGAACGTTTGGATCCATACTCTGGACGGTTCTTCCCTCGTGAGCCCCGGACAGAGCAACTCGCGATGCTTATTCGACAGGAGAAGGGCGTGGAGAACATCGTGCGGACGAGAACGTGGGATATGGTCAAGCAACGATGTGGCGAGTCGGCGAACTCGTGGGAAGAAGCTCTCGCGAGTTGGCGCTCAAGAGCTGCCGGGAACGTCGATGGCCAGTAGGCCCTAGACTGCATCGCTCTCAGCGGCTGTACCATTATTGTACATATGTATACCACGTACCTGTACCAACCTTGTAACACAACGCCATATGAATAACGATAGATATATACAAATCAAATACCAAAGCAATATCAAGCCAGTAAATGCTCGACCGAGAAAGGAAGTAGAGTAAAGGTGCCGAAGCCGTAGAAATCGTGAACTCTTGCGCACCGAGGCCCTGAAGATCACACGAGATTTGGGGGCTTCAAGGCATGGATCTCATCATCTGGCAGAGTGTGAAGCATGGGGAAGCGTCATGTTCTAGCTTTCCATGATCATTGACTTGGCAATGGTAAGCATCCACAGATCAGCTCTACTGGTGAGATTTGTCCGACAAAAAACTTACCTTAATTTCGCGGTCTCTCATGAAGGCTGTCAGTCTTTCTGGTCTTCTTTAACTATTCAATGCGTCACGAATCATGGCATGCATCAGTATTGCAGTGGAACACGGAACTGTAGGTACACCTTTCGTCAAGAACTTGATTGACCGTCCCCCACCAAAACGGCGGATTGGCCATTACCGAGGGGGACGTGCGCAGAACAATGCGGCCACTGGTGGTGCGATTTCAATATGGTGAAAACGGACCTGATGGGCCCGGCTCATTTTGCCCCGCCAAAAGCCCGCCGTCCCGCCAAACGGTAAGGTCCAGTTATGGTACGGACACCGTGGTGGCGGTCGCTGCAGGGCGAAGACGGCGCCCTGAGCCCCAAGGAGGGCAGCCAGCTCAGCCTTGGAACATGTGTGTGGCCAGAGTCTTCCATCCAGAATCCCACCCGTTTACGTCGAAACCTTTGTGAATACTTGCAGCTCCGTCCGTGGACTCGCACACGACCAATCTTCGACTTTCCACCCCACGCTCTCGAAAAGATACGAGTCCTCGGTCCCCGACACAACCGACCTCTACTCTTTGTATCTTATCCGTCCTCTACTTTTATTCCTAGCCAGTAGCTCGGTTCCGTCAAACCACCGCAGCTAGCTACCCCTCCTTGACCTCCGAGGACCCCTCCAGACACACTGCTGCGGACCAGCCTTCCGAAGAGTTTGCATCTCTAGCGACTTTTGGGATAGTTTCAGCCTTGCGAAACTCGCTTCTCCCTCGACGACTCGGTCTTCTTTTCTTCGCAGTGCCGGCGATACGATCTCCGGCCCAATACCGATCCGATGCCGCAACCTCTCAATTCGAAAGAGGCTTCCCTCTTTCGCGCCGTCATCCGCGCCTATGAGGACAAACAGTACAAGCGCGGTCTCAAGTCCGCTGACCTCATCCTCAAGAAGAACCCCAAACATGGCGACACAATGGCCATGAAGGCCCTGATCATGAATGCGCAGGGTAAGACAGAGGAGGCTTTTGCTCTGGGCAAGGAGGCTTTGACGGTGGACATGAAGTCGCACATCTGCTGGCACGTCTACGGCCTGCTGTACCGCGCCAACAAGAACTTCGAGGAGGCTATCAAGGCGTACAAGTTCGCTCTGAAGCTCGAGCCCGAGTCAACGCAGATCCAGCGCGATCTTGCCATTCTTCAGGTGCAGATGCGCGATTATGCCGGATACATCTCAAGCCGCACTGCCATGCTGCAGGCCCGTCCCCAGCTACGCCAGAGCTGGACTGCACTGGCTATCGCTCACCACTTGTCAGGTGACCTGTCCGCCGCCGAGAACGTCCTTACCACCTACGAGGGAACGCTCAAGTCTACGCCCTCCCGTAGCGACTACGAGAACTCCGAAGCCGTCATGTACAAGAACACCATCATTGCCGAGCAGGGCGACTACCAGAGAGCTCTCGAGCATCTTGAGAGTGCCGCTAAGCATAACCTTGACAGGCTCGAGTATTTGGAGCTGCGCGCGAAGTACCTGGTCAAGCTGGGCAAGAAGGAGGAGGCTATTGCCGCATGGCAGGCTCTTGTTGAGCGCAACGCTGACCGTCCTGCTTACTTTGAGGGTCTGGAAAGCGCTCACGCCTTTTCCGACAGTGATGCGGCTGCTAGGAAGGAGATTTACGAGAAATACGCCAAGAAGTTCCCCCGCTCAGACGCTCCCCGCCGCCTACCCCTGAACTTCTTGTCTGGTAAGTGTTCATTCCTGTCTTTGTATTCACAGGTGCTAACATGAGCAGGTGACGACTTCAGTGCTGCAGCAAAGGAGTACTTGACCCTCATGTTCAACAAGGGTGTTCCGTCGACTTTTGCCAACCTGAAGCACTTGTACTCCGACTCTGCCAAGAAGGAGGCCCTCGAAGCTCTCGCCCAGGACTACCTCAAGTCGAGCTCACGCTCCGAGGCTACCAACGGCGATCGCTCAAAGGGAGAGGCTGCGGCTCTCTACTTCCTTGCCCAACACTACAACTACCACCTCAGCCGCGATCTCACCAAGGCTCACGAGTACGTTGACAAGGCTATCGAGAAGGTCCCCGACAGCGTCGACTTCACCATGACCAAGGCCAGGATATGGAAGCACCAGGGCAACCTGCAAAAGGCATCCGAGACTATGGACAAAGCACGCACTTTGGATACCCGCGATCGCTACATCAACACCAAGGCCGCCAAATACCAGCTGCGTAACAACGAGACGGAGCAGGCGTTGAAGACTGTGGGCCTCTTTACTAGGGCGGACACTGTCGGTGGCCCTCTCGCGGATCTCTTGGACATGCAATGCGTCTGGTTCCTTACTGAGGATGGTGAGGCCTATGCTCGCCAGGGTGATGATGCCTTGGCCCTCAAGCGCCTCCATACGGTTCACAACATTTTCGACGTCTGGCAAGAAGACCAGTTCGATTTCCACAGCTTTTCCCTGAGAAAGGGCCAGATTCGTGCCTACGTGGATATGGTCCGGTGGGAGGACCACCTCCGGGACCACCCCTTCTACTCAAGAGCCGCTTTGGACGCCGTCGCGATCTACCTCAGGAGAGCCGACCGCCCCGCGGCGAACGGCGTCAACGGTGACGCAAACGGCGACGATGCCTCTGAGAGAAAGAAGGCTGCGAAGAAGGCCAAGAAAGAGCAACAGCGCCTGGAGAGGGAAGCGGCTGATCGTGCGGCGAAGCAAGATCCTAACAAGGGCAAGCCCGCCAGCGAAGAGCCCAAGAAGAAGGACGAAGACCCTCTCGGCCTGAAGCTCCTTGAGGCCGAGCCCCTCAGCGCGGCGATGCGATTCGTCACCCCTCTTCTGCAATTCAGCCCGCAAAATATCAACGCCCAATTCGCCGGTTTTGATGTTTACCTGCGCCGAAGTATGTCTGACCATGGCACCTCTACCTACCTCTTGAACAGTACTAACAACTTTACAGAGAAGTACGTCCTTGCACTTCGTTCTTTGAACGCTGCCCGCGAGCTCGATGCGTCGCACCCTGGTGTTCACGAGCGTGTTGTCGAGTTTGCTCACGTTGTGCGGCCGGCACTTGAGAGCTTGCCCGCGAAGGTGCAAGAACTTATCAAGTCTGAGTTCACTCCTCCTGCCGGCGACTTGAAGAAGTACAACGAGGAGTTCCTCTCGAACAACAAGACCAAGCCTACTCATATTGTCGCCGCCCTCAAGACACGAAGAGTGCTTGGAGAGGACAGCGCCAAGGCCGAAGCCGACCTTGCGAACGTCGTCAAGGCTCCCGATGCCACCTTTGAGCTTGCCACTGAGGTGTACAACCTCTTGAAGGCGTGGAGGAGCCGTGAGGCGGAGACACTCAAGAAGGAGGCGCACGCGAGGTGGCCTGAAGTGAGCCTCTTTGCCTAGGAGCGCAAGCCCCCGCCCTTGTCGCCAATTCGGAGGATATGGAACCAGCTCAGGCGGAAATAAAGGCAGTGTTGCCGGTTTCAATATTGCGATTTGTGCAGTCAGATACCCGAACAGTGGGAAGCGTTTCCAAACGGTCATGGGTGAATTTGTTCCCTCGGCGATTTGGAAGCCAAGGCTGGGTAAAGGTCCGGGCTATGGACGCGTGCTTCGTTGCGGCATGTGTCGAAATCAAGGACATAGTTGCATCATCAAAAGTTGTGATAGAAGAGAGAAGGCTACAAAAAAGCGTACGAGACTCTAGATTTCCTCTGAGCAGCACCTTTTTTTCTCGTGGTGCATTTCGAGCTGGGACCGTGATGTTCCATTTCCTTGCTTTCCTTTTTGTCTTGGCTGAACTCCCATATTCACACTTTTTATCCTCATAATCTGGTACCCTCCAGTTGCACATACTCTACTGGCTGAAGCTGTTTGTGACGTCGACAAACGCCTTCCACTGCTTCCAGGCCTCGCCGCTCTTGACAGCCCAGCGCGCCCTCCGCACACCCTCCTTCCAGCGACCTCCACCAGGGCCCCTTTCGGTAATCACCTGGCCATCGTCGCCGGGACCCATGTTGCTCGTCTCGGCCTCGCAGATACCCGACGTGACAAACAGCGTCGCGGCGTTCATCAACACAAACTCGAGAATGGGGTCGTTGTCGGCCATCTCGCCCGCCAGTATCCTCCTCAGAATCTCGGCATTCTCAGCCGGCTCTTTCCCGGGGGATACGGTGTTGAGGGGGTGCGTTCCCAAGCCGAAATCGCTCGGCTGCACCTTGAAGTGATCCGCCACGACCTCACCGCCAGGGGACGCCTCGCTGAGCCTCCAGACCAGTGTCGGGCCCGCGCAGCTGACCTCGTCCAGCTCCTCCTCGCCGCAGATGATCATGGCTTTTTTCGAACCGCTGATCTTGAGGGCCTCGAGGAAGACGGGGCCGAGCTCCTTCCTCGCTACACCGATGACGCGGGCTTCGAGGATATCCTCGACGGGGTTTGCCAGGGGGCCGAGGAGGTTGAAGATCGTCCTCCAGGGGAGTTCTTTGCGGATGGGCGCGACGTAGCGCATGCCCGGGTGGAAGACGGGGGCGAAGAGGAAGCCGTAGTTTGTGGCGGCGTATACTTGTGAGATTGTCTCTGGGGAGACGGCCATGAGGACGGGCGGGCGGGGCTGCATGTTGTTGACGAGGTCCGCGGAGCCGGACTTGGAGGTGCTGGCGCGGTTGCCGTGCTTGGCGACCAACAGGAGGGAGGAGGCGAGGATAGAGGCGGTGGTGCTGATGTTGAATGTGTTGTGGGCATCGCCTCCCGTTCCGACGATGTCGCACAGTCCGCCGGCGTAGGTGCCCGCGCCGAGCGCCTTTTGCTTGACCACGCGGGAGAGATCGTCAAAGTCGACTTTGGCGGCGGCGCGGCGCATGTAGTGCGCGGAGCGGGCCATTACGTCGGCGCGGCGGTCGAGGTTGGTGAAGTGCAGGGCGATGAGGAGGGAGGCGGCCTGGGTGTCGGAGACCTGGTGGGTGAAGAAGTGGGAGATGGCCTCGGCGATCTCATCGGCGCTCACGGCGAGGCCGGCGTCCGGGACGGGCCAGAGTTTCTTGAGCAGCGGTTTGATGTCGATGAGCGGGAGGGCGGCGTCGGACCCCGCGACCGGAGGTTGTGAGGCCATGGCGGGGTTGATTTTTGTGTAGACTGTGGTTTTGTTTCTGGATTTTGACGAGTTGGGATGATGAAGATTGCTGTCGTTAAGTCAGATGAGATCAATTGACTGGAATAGAATAGGGGGGATCTACTTATGAATTGAGTCACCGAGAGAGCAATGAGATGTGAGTCAAGAGGCCCTCAAACAGTGAGAGGTTGTTCAATGTGAGAGAACCCAAAGTCAATGTGAGCAATCCGCTATCTGGAGCGGTACCGAGGTACGTACTCCGTATCGTTCTGCTAAATGAGCGAAAGAGGTTGCGGCCCACAGCTGATTGGTCAATTATTGCCTGATTTAGACGACACGGGGGAAGCTCATTGGGTGTCCTTCCTGCTCTCAACAGTGCTGTCGCCAATAAGGGAATCTCCGCTCCCGCTACGTTGGAGGGGACGTAAAGTATGGGTAAAGTAGAGGTAGTAGAAGCTTAGGTAATACAGGGGGAAGTTGTATCATCCGCATTTCAATAGGGATTTTGGAGGAATTTGGTGATGCTAGACGCTGAATGCCATTCTCTTTACGCGTAGGTTTTCGATGCTTGCCCCGCGTGGAGCGTTGATATTACCGTCTCAAAAACATTGCGCGTATTAAGGTACGTACTTACTCATATCTGACTTGCCTGACTAAAAGGCAATAAAGGCATTGTGCGGCTGTGCCCTTGTTTCCTTTCTATTGTTTGCCCAGTCGAGGCTTGCGTTCTCCCTCTCCCTCGAATCAAATTACTTTCGGCCAGGACAATGCAAAGAGGCGGTTGGACGCGCAGCATGAAGTACGCGCAGCCCGCTCGCCCATCGTCTGATGAATGGTTCACCAAGGCATACGACGTTCTCTTGCACGCACGACCACAGTTTCCGCCCTGGATTGAGGAACCATGACATCAGCAGCTTTGATGTATACCAGACACAAACAGACACCAAAGACCATCAGAAAGGCGCAGAGAACGCAAGGAACGCCAGCGCAGCCAAGGCAGGAGAGCCGGGCATCGCGCAAGCTATGTCGCCGGTGTCCTACAGCCGTCCGGTACCTGACAGACTGACAGTGGCTGGCTTACTCACACCACCAAGACGAATGAACAGACGTGTCGCATTGTTGGCGTCCATTTCCCCTCAAGCCACTCCTAGATAAGGTGTTTGGTCCGGCCCTGGCCTGCTGTACCTACCTCGATTGGGATGTCTACATCACCTCCCGTCACCTGTCTAGTCTGACTTTACGGGGAGTTGCATCCCCCAAAGACACATGCCAACCTCACAGTGCCCCCCAAACTCGAACATTTCGGTTTCCATCAACGCCCTCTCCTTGAATGGTTGCATCTTCCCGTACCTACGGTTGCATCACGAGTGTGATGTGCGTCCGGGGGAGCACCTCCGCCATGGTCAGGTGGCCGCTACGGGCGCCGCGGGCCCCTCGCATTATCTCCAGGTCCTGGGCGGGTGGTAAAGGGTAACGGCTTCAGTACCTAAAGTGCTAAAGTACCCTTAACAGTTGGCCAGCTGCAGCGTGCATCCGTGCCATGAAATTCTCATTTTCATGGTGCCAGGTTCCTCGGAGTTGCGCTTGCTTACCTTATCGTACTTCTACTATCAATGCCTGCCCCATTATGGAGGTACATATATTCCACGCAGTTTGTGTAGTGTCAGCCAAAGTAGCGCTCTATTGAATCAAGCGTGACTGAGGTTCAATCTCCGATTCATCCGTGCTGCCGCTGCCGGTGGGTGACCATGCCATCCTTCCTGCAGCGCAGCAACAGAAGGGCGTCGGCTTAGGTGGATGTTCTGTACTCTTGTAACTTTCTTTCCTGTTGCTTATTGCTTCCCCCCCTGGTATTGCTTCAACTCTTTTGCTTGGGCCTACAGATTCACAGCAAGGTACCTTTCACCAGCACCATTAGCACCAAAGTTCGATTTCCCTTCCTGGACCTCAATCCTCCCTCGTCAACGACGGGCCTCGGGACGTGCTCTTAGCCTCCTCCTAGCCCAACTCCCTTCAACTATTCCTATTCCGCTTGCGCCAACGCCCTTCTTCCCAAGTTCCTCCTACGGCTTGGTACAACGGCGCAGTAATAATTTACACTTATTCTCGTCTTCTCTTCTCTTCCCTCCTGCAACCCCTGGGAGCTTGTGACCACCCCATCAACAACAGCCGCCGTAGCGTCCGTTACCAATAACTAGTCAACGACTGACTACAATGTCTCGTCGCGACATCTGCTAGCACTGACCGATTTCCTTTTGCATCTTCGTCACCTTCGTTCGCCTATAACTCTGTCTCTCGCCTGACGTGAACAGCCTGTCCCGCCAGCTTCTGCTCGTCTGTCGCTTATTTCATCCTTGCAAACTTCACGATGGCCACCCTCGCAGGGGAACACAACACGGCCCCGAACGGGACCGAGTCCATCTCCGAGTCCTCCCAATCCTACGGCAAGCCCGCCTCTAGAAACGGCCCACCAGAGACGATCAAGGTCGACGACAACAAATCTTTGACTCTAACCTCGGAGAATCTCCTTCTGAATGGTGTGTGGGAACCTGCAATATACCTACCTCGTAGCGATGCGCTCGGGTAGCTGACCCCCTTTCAAAGACCCAACAGCGAACAAAGCCAACCGGACTTGCGGTTTTGCTGGGTTTGGCGCATCAGGTCCGTTGTCATTGACCTCCGTGGCCTCCATTCCCAGCTTGCTAACACCAGTCCGCAATATGCAGCACCCTCGACGCAGACCGTCCCCTTGTACAACGTCCTCTGGGCTGAACAGACGGGAGAGACCCTCACGATCGACTATGCGAAACAGGCCGGCAAGCAACGAGTACAGGCCGCGATATGGACTTTTACCCTCAATGACGCGGAAGGCCCTGATGTCAAGTCCTGGATCGATACCCTCATGAGAAAGGCATACGGACCGGCGAAACTATGCAAGAGGGCCAAGGTCTTGGTCAACCCGCATGCTGGACCGGGGGGCGCGGAAAAGAAGTGGCGCGTAGACGTCGAGCCTCTGTTCAAGGCGGCGCGCATGCCCATGGATGTGGAGCACACCACCTACTCAGGCCAGGCTCTTGAAATAGCGCGGGAAGTCGACGTGGACGCGTTCGACACAATCGTCACCTGCTCAGGTGATGGGCTGGCTCACGAGGTATTCAATGGTCTGGGTCAGCGGCCCGACGCGTCGCAAGCGCTGCACAAGGTTGCTGTCTCGCACATCCCCTGCGGTTCGGGCAATGCGATGAGCTGCAATCTCTACGGCTCGTATCGACCGTCGATCTGCGCTCTCGCTATCGTCAAGGGAGTTGAGACCCCGATGGACCTGGTGAGCATCACACAGGGCGACCGACGCACACTCAGTTTCTTGAGCCAGGCTCTTGGCGTAGTGGCCGAAAGCGACCTGGCTACCGAGCACTTGCGGTGGATGGGTGGCGCGCGCTTCACCTGGGGCTTCCTGGTGAGGATATTCGAAAAGAAGTGCTACCCCTGCGACTTGGCTGTAAAGGTCGAGATCGAGGATAAGGCTGGCGTCAAGAAGCACTACAAGGAGTACACGCGCAGCGCGTCGGTAACACATACAGGTGCCAGCGAGCCTCCGAGAGCGGAGAACGCTGATGCTGTATCGAGCCCTTTCGGTGACCAGGAGGGCCTGCCGCCTTTGAGATTCGGCACCATCAACGATGATCTGCCAGACGGGTGGGAACTGATACCCCATGACAAGATGGGCAACTTTTATTGCGGAAATGTAAGTATACTGCCTCGCTTTTCTCGGTTTCTGATTGGAGATGCCCGTCTCTTGGAAGCCATCCCTCGCAACAACCAAGTACTGACAACCACAGATGGCATACATGGCCGCCGACGCCAACTTCTTCGCGGCTGCTCTCGCCAACGACGGTCTGATGGACCTTGTCTGCATCGACGGAGACATGTCAGTCGGCGCCCAGCTGAGCATGCTCATGTCTGTAGAGAATGGCAAATTCTTTGACAACTGTTTGGTATCGTACCGCAAGATTTCCGCCTATAGGATCATTCCAAAGAACCAGAAAGACGGCTATATCAGCATCGATGGTGAAAAGGTGCCGTTTGAGCCGTTCCAGGCCGAGATCCACCACGGTCTTGGCAGGGTCATTTCGAAGCGCGGCAAGTACGAAGCTCCTGGTCCAATAGGCTGGGAGAAGATGTCCCTCCCCTAAGAGATCGAACCCGGACTGCGAAGGGAAGAGAGACAATAATTGGCGTCTGGCGAGAGTCACACCCAATCCCAGGACAGCACCTGCTGGGATTGAGATTGAGAAGGCCAACCAAGATATTGTTTGATGGTATTTTGGACCATAAACGAAGGAAGCGGAAGCGGAGTAGTGAGCAGTGATTTGTTTCTTCAAAAGTCGAGATACCCAGATAGAACAAGACGGGAAGAGTACAGCCGTCGTCGGGCTAGGCTGGAAGAGCAGGCGGCCAGGTTGGTAAAAAGGACAGCCATTGGATATCACTGTATACTATAGAGTACAGCGTTGCACATAATATCTGAATTCTCTTTTTGGTTCCCACCACCGCTTCCCATGGAACAGAAACCCACGGGGAATCCTTACATCAAAAATGACATGCCTCCCTTTCTTTTATAAAATCCAATGAACGCCGTGTTCTCCATCCCATGCAAAGACACACACAAAGAAGGGAATGCTTCCTCCCCTCTACTGATCGTCAATGCCGCCCCATTCGTCATCATCCCCATCCGCCGCCTCCGCCTCCTCGGTAGCTTTGTTCTCCGTCCACGGCAGCCTCTCGTCCTCAACCACGACCGCAGCCTTGGCTCGCACAGTCTTCACGGGCGACTTCTTAAGCGGCTCAACGAGCTGGCTCAACTTCTTTGCAAACGCCACCGCCTTGGCGTCCTTCTCCTCGAGCATCTCCAACCGATCCAGCTCGTCGACCCAGATATCAAGCCCGTGAAGCCGCAGCCCAATAGGCACCTTTCTCAGATCGCCCTCGAGCTCGAACGGCCACTCGCCGTACACCTTCAACAATTCCTCTACCCTATTTTCGTCGTATTCGCCCTCCTTGACCCACTGCAACCCCGAGGTAAACGTGCGTCTGACGAGGAGGAGGAACTTCTCCATGCGGAGGACGTCGATATCCGTCCACTGCTTGGAGAGGATCTCCCAAAAGGCGGCGAGCCAGGTGGGCACGTCGTCGTTGCGGAGGCAGGCTGTCAGCGCCGCGAGCTCGGAGGCGAGGTTTTGTTGCGGGATGGGGCGGTCGCACATCCACATTGCGTAGAAGAGGCCCTTCCATAGCTTCAGGGCTTCGAGGTGGGAGAGGGCGCGGTGAGAGCCGAGGAAGGTTTGGAGGGAGGTTAGGGCTTGGGTTCGGAGTTTGCGGTCTAGAGGGAGGCGAGGGAGTTAGCTGAAGTTGTCCTAGGGCTTTAGTTTGGAAAGTTTGGGAGGTTTGCGACGGCGGAGTGGGAGGTATGAGACTCAGGATGCGATGCGACGGGGGAACGAACCGCTGGAGGCCAGGTTCCTGATGAACGGCATGTTCTGTTCTTGAGACGCCATCTTGGACGATGTTGTGTGGTGTTTGAGCGGGTGGGAGTAGCTCAATTGAAGGTGTCGCGTGCTCTTGGAGTTGCGACGGGCAGGACTGTTGTTCTATGCACCGTCGACGAAGGGTGCAACCAGGGTGGGATGTTCCCGAGAATAAAATTGTTGTTCACCGAGAAAACTGCCCCGCCGATCCTCGGTGTGGGAGGGTCCCGGGGTAACTCGATTGGGTGACCGCCTTTGAGGAGGTGGGTCCATCGATATGCAGGGGAAAGACGTGGCGTGTGGCGGTATCGGTCTGGATTGTTCGGTGGTGTGGCTGTGTATTTGACGACTTCGGAGCCACAGAGAAGGTACGACCTATTGATGCCATAAATAGATCTTCAGATTCACAATGATATGAGATGGGACATCACGGAACATCAGGATTCTTCTCTGAAAGTTATGTAGTCATTTGATCGCCAGTCAGTAGTGTTATTACTTTGCCAAATGGGGCAGACTCCATTCCAGAAGTATGTGACACCAGTTCAAGCCAGGGCTCTCAAGCCAGAACATGTCCAAGTCCTTATGCTCTCAGGTTCCATTAGAGACCATCATATAGGTCACCTTGACTGATCAAAGTATCCGTCATGCTGCGCTCCTGATCATAACTAATCGACGGAGAAGGTGATAAAACGCCCGAAGCTCTTACAATTCTGTCAACCTTTTTGCGAACATCCTCCAACTGAGCAAGAAGCTCCATGTTCTTGGCCACAGCATCATCCAACTGACTCTGCTGGTCCGCTACCTCCTGTGTCTTCTGATAGAGTTGCGCCTGCACAGTCACCAACTCATGCTGCGACTGCTGAATGACGGCGTCCTTGCGCTCGCTTTCCTTTCGGTAGTTTTCCATGTGATTGTAGTACTCCTGCGCCTGGGCGTAGCTCAAGTGCGCCATATCGTAGGCTTGGGAAATCTTGATGCGGAGGATGTCGACTTCGCGCTTGTTGGCTAAGGCAACCTTGTTGGTGCGGATTTGGAAGTGGGCGAGCTCGGAGAAGGCTTCTTCGCGGGAGGTGATGAGGATGGCGATCAGGTCTTTGCCTTCGAGTCTGCGCTCCTTGGCCTTCTTTTCGTCATCGGCCATGAGTTGCTTGAAGAGCTTCTCGTGCTCTTTCTCGTCGTATTGGACGAACTGTGTGTGTTTGCTAATCGTCAGTGCTTGCGTTGGATTGGTGAACGGGTTGAACAAGTAAAGCGATTGTTTTGATGGGGATGTTTCCACGAGGAACCCTGTGCTTGCAAATGAGGGGAAGAGACTGACCTTGAGACCTCTGTAGGTTGAGTTATTGTTAGCCATTGTAGTGCTGGGAGAATCCATGGAGCCGGCTGCCAGTGAGGATCGTTCTGAGGAAGATTTGATAATAGCGCTCATCTGACAGACCAGGAGTCACAGATGTGCTCGGCCTTGACAGTGATCTTGTCACCGGAAACAACTCTGGAGAGTAAAGTTTATTACAATTACTCCTGTCATTCGTACGTAGAGGTGACGTCGGCGATGGATGGCCAGGAGTGTGGTGTTGCTCTGAGGTTGCTAATATTCGAGATGGGTACAAGTTGCCGTTAAACTCGTGATGTATTTGGAAGAAAGTGCGACTGCGTATAAAAAGAGAAATGCTTCTTTTCGGAAAAGGCAAGATGCTGCAGTCTGGACCGTATTCCACTTTGGAATATGCTCAGGTCTCAGTCTCCCGGACTGTTCTCGTCGGGAGGAGGAAAATCTGCAAGGCTTATTAGTGAACTCGGCGGTAAAGCGGGCTCGGAATGAGACCCGTAAAGTTCTGTGGAAAATTTCCAGAAAAAAAAAAATACCTCTGCAAGAATACTTGAGTCTTTATAGTATTCTATTAGATAATTGGACCCCAAGAGACCCATTTGCTATTCCCGTTTACCTAGTTCAAGTTGCTGCTACCTTGGCACAAGATGATGGACATTGAAAGGGGGTTCACTTCAGATTCAGCATTCATCTCGATATTTCTGTTCGGATGATAGGGCCTTCTTCTGGAGCCGACGAAGAACACTTCAATTTGTTTATTTGAGAGTTCAACCAAGCGAATATCATCTCAGAGCATTGTTTGATTTCAGAGAGTCATGGAGGCTGTGAATGAATTCACAATTGTAGTCTAGATCTTCTGTACTAGGCCGATTAGAGTATCTGGGACCCATCAAGACGATAACAAGTAAAGGCGATTCCCTTGAGGCAAGCATCATGATAAACAGACAGCAAAACTTATCACATTCACCTATGTTCCCTCTCCGTTGCCAAAGCTTTCTGACGTTGACGGATGACTGCTTTATTGGTACTATTCTACCTGAAACTCCAGTATCCTACTCTCCAATTCGCTTCAGACGCAGGTTATTGTGGTGGTTATGTGTTTACGATGGGCTGTTGATCCTGACCCTATCTAGATAGGCCAAGCATTCTGCCTCCAAGGTGAGGTGGGACCAGGGTCAGAAGATGCGCCACCTTGGCCTTCTCGGCAGTGAGCTCATCCGAAAGATCCTCAATCTCCTTCTCGTAACTTTCCTTGCGACGTTTAGCAGAAGCCTTGTTACGCTCGATGGAAGCACTGGCTAGCGCGATGGTATTCTGAGAACGCTTGTAACAGCTATCTCGGAGGATAGCTAGCTCGCCGATGTGCTTCTCGTTCAAGTCTCTAATGGCATGCTGGTGCTCCTTCTTGAGCTGATTGATTTTGAGGGTGTGGTTGTCTTCGATGACAACGAAGTCGTCTTCGGAGTCAGATTTCTGTGGTCTCTGTTAGCACTGACCTGCAAGAACCGCTGTTAATGGGAGTCGGCCTTACCACAGCCATGTTGCTGTTGTGGGACATTTTGGCTAGACTGTTACCTGCGCTTCGTGTAGTATCTAGGTATTCTGGTGATTGTTAGATTGCTCAAATGAAAGAAGGTGAGTGAAAGCCATGCACTGAACGTACCCAAAAGAAGAAGTGCTCAAGAGACGGCGAAGGCGACTGGAGTAGTGCGGAATGAGGTTGTGAAATTGAAGTTGCAGGATCAAGAGGTATATGCAAAAAGTCGCGAAAGTGTGAGCGTGGTAAGGAGGGAGTAGTTTGGGAAGAAAGAGCCTGGGGAAAGGACCCTTTATACCTTTTGAAAGGCGAAGTTGGTGATGGAGGCATTCCGGGACAAGGACCCACCTCCAACGTTGTCCTAATCGGGAGACAGCAGTGAAAGGGGAAGGTAGGCCATTTTCCTAATAAGGGGTTAGCGGTGAACAGCATCGCATCTTTGAGGCAAGAAGGAACGTGAATCACATTTATCAGAGAATTCAGGGGTACGTATGTGTTCTTTAGATGACTGAATGCCCTCCCTATGGCTCATGGGAGGACTCCTTGGATAGCCAATACAGCGAAAGCTCAAGAGAAGCTTGAAGGAGATACCGAGAGTCATGATGATGGTAATTGAATGGATTGGTGGTGCTATCTAACAACATTGCTGGTTTGGACGAACAAAGCCGATAGAATAGAATCTCTGAGCGTAATCATGGCATATATACATGAGTGCTAACTGATATTTACAATGGATCTGATCCCCAAGAATTTTGGTTCACGGTCATGTTCATATATAGGAAATGACAAATTTGATGTCACACTCAATCAATTCCCATTGGAATGTAAGGTCATATATAAGGTAGCTGATGATCAAGGCTGCTGTGCGGTAGGCTCTGTTGCCACTTGTGTGTCGTGTAAATGAGCGATTGATTGCGAAATTGTGTTCATTCACCAGGAGAACGTTTCATAATGTAATTGTTTGGTACTATTGAGCCTCCTTAAGATTGCTTGTTTTTGGCATAAGCTTTGGGCACAGTTTTCCTCGAGGGAAACGGAAGTCTTTGTGCTCTCTGTCAAGTCTCCACAATTACCTTACGCAACCCCCTTGATCACGTCAAATTGTTCGTTGAAAAGCTAGCCCTACAGAGTGACCGTAAAACAAATACTGAAAAGTTGAACAAAGCTGACAGCCATTCGGCGAGGGCCCTTATTAAACCTCTAGTATTGAAGCTGTAACATTGACGTAGAGGGAAGGGGTAATCATCTACCCGTAGGCACCTGCCTTGCGAATAGGTATTGTCCAACGCGATGTGAATCCCCTCGGTCTACAAAGTAGGTATCACAACAGCGCGCTTTGCTACGAGGCTATAGTTAGGTAATGAGATCTGGAAACAACAATGATGCCAAGAGATGCCTTTGACGAACATCCGCTATCCGCCAGGCTCAGTGACCGCAGCACCGTATGCTCTGGAGCCGCACAATAATCAAATTGGCACGACCAGGCTACCCTCGTGTCCAAGGAAATCCGGAATTTCCTGTGGTTGATTACGCAAAAATTTCGTGGTTGTCGATACTGCAGTTTGCCCAATGAAGAAACCGGTGATTTACCGTGACGTGACGCTTCAAAAGCAACGGTGCGCATCCCCTGAACAGAATCGCTGGGTCAAATGCAAATATCCCCCGTCAAGCAGTAAAATCAGACGATATCAAACACGAGGAAGAGATAGATGATATAGAGAAGGATTGGCTGTTTGGTTCGGGGGCAATAAGCCCGCCGCCAATTCTGCGGGCATCCAGACTTGAGAAGATGTTATTGACCGTTGCCCAGGAAAATGAGAGACCCTGTGATATCAGCAAAATCTTGGCCAAGACATCGCGAATGAACCAGACACAAGCATGAGTGATATTATCTTATGGAATATTTATTGCTTCATGGTGGACCATGCTTAAGCTCAAGATATATCATTTCTACCTCCTCTGCCTCGCTGTCCATGGCATTTACTGTCCGTCCTACCCCTGAAGTGCACCAGAAGAACGAGGAATACGAACAGAATACAATCACTAGGGCTAGAAATCACTTGCCTGAGGTTCTTCGGCCTTCGAAAGATGAACCCACGTCTTGTCATTGTACCTCGACCTGGCGTCACCGAGTACAGGCAAATCTCAACTTTACACATCCAACTCCCGAATAGCGACTACAAGCGCAGTTCTAGTAACGAGGCCAGCATCTGCATTGTTCCGTCTCTCGTCATCCATGATCAATCACGCTGTTTCCCATCATCCGGTATTCTTGGGTGGCGTACAATTCGTTGTTCCGGATAATCACCCATTTATCTCCTCAGATCCCCTTCGAGGCTACTCCTTCTTCGACCGAAGCTAGGAGCCGCGTTTGTTTACTTCACCTGTTCCACTTCATCTTCTCACACGCGTCTAGAGCAGCACCAGATGCCTCATCCTCATCCATGAGGCAGCAAGTCTACGCCCTGCGCCCATTTCCACCCTCACACCTTGATCTGCCGATATTTCTCTTTTTTCCACTCACATCCTTGACACCCCAACATCTCTCCTTCTTCCATCCTCGGCCTTCTTCCATCCTCGGAGTCTCCTCATTTTTTTCTCCTACCTCTTCTTCTCCATCACCACCACATTTCCTCATCGACAAAGCAGCTTCGTCCAACAAGAAGAGACAACTTCATCTCGCGATACGCGCTGCTCAGAATATTCATCAAAGGTACGATATCCATCTTCTTCTTCTACTCGTCTTTTACTTCCCTTCGCAAATATCGTTCCTTCATCCCCCTTTCTCAAAACCTCGTCAGTCTGAGCAGTTGGGACCGATTTCCTGGCTCCTTCCTCTCCAGCTCACGCGTCTCATTCCCACCTCCCAATTTTTCATCCCTCACGCGTCTTTTTTGTTTTCCTCGAGAATCAAAATATTCAGATCGCCCTCACGTGAGGGTGGGTGGTCGGGCAGACGCACTTAGTTGGTTTTTCCGTCTACCAAAGCTCACTTCCTCTTCCTCGTTCTCTTTCTCCCACCTTTCCCTTCCCTTCTCTTCTTCTCAAATCCAACACCGCCGCTTCCGCTTCGCAAGGTCTGCCTTCTTCCAGCTTTGCTTCCCGTGGGCCTTCATTCTCCTTTTCTCTCTCTTCCAATCCTCTCACTCGGCCTTTCTCATTATTCCACCTCATCTCAGCCATCTCATCATCGGCTCATTCTCATCTCTCTCGCCCGAATTATTTGAGAATTCAGCGCAAGTTCTCAACTCAGCCTCGGGTTTTTTTTTTCCTCGTCACTGACAAATATTTCAATAAGACCTTCCTCGCCATGGCCTCCTCTCCTGCCTCCTAAATCGAAGTACCCAGCATGAAGCGTTGGCACAGCAGCAACATCATGGTAAGCCCGCAGTCTTTTCATTTGCGTCCCGGACTCGTCTTCTCTCGTGTCTCTTCCCACCTGTCCATCTTGCCGATTGGACCCTAAGCGGGCCGAGAATTCGTTCTCGGTGAGACGTCGGGAGCCCGGAACTGGAGAGGTGAGTTGCCAGGGTGACAGGGCCATTTGGACAGGCCAGTCACCCTTCTGTGGGCAGTCGGGGCAAATCACTTCTTCATTCCGGTTCTGCCTTCGGGCGGTATGGTCTCAACCACCTCGGATTTCCCTCGTGGAAGTCCTGGGATGGTCCAATCGGTTACTTGTTGCCACCAATCCGTCCTGCTGGGCAAGCAGGGTAGCGGGCCTTGGAGGTACACCCTACTCTCTCGTTTCCGGGTGTGGCTGTGAAAGGTGCCCCCTTATAACTTCCGCCTTCGGGTGGGTTCATGGAGCCAGTCCCAGCCATCTTTCAGGACTAGTCTCGCGACATCTGGATCTTTTTCCAGGTGACATTCTGGGTCCCCATCGATGTCTGGGTTCTCAGGAGCGCTTTCTCACGGTTGCGCTCTTGAGCTAACCGCAACGTCCTTCCGTCAAAAGTTGGACCGCGTGGTAGCTAGGTGTCGCAAGCCAAAAGTGTTTCTCCATGGATGTTAAGAAGTACCGATCTTGGCGAGGTGCTGTGGTGGCGGCAGCAAAGATGCAGGATCTTAATGGCGTGGCACAACAGAGGATGACGAGTTGGGCTTACCAGTAAGGTTTTCCTTGCTGACTGGGTGAAGACACAGGACAACTCATTCGATAATTTCGAGAGCCAGGATGATATGGCAGACAATTCAGTAAGTTGGACCTCGCCATCATCCTCAAATCAATTTATCTCTTTGCTGACATCTATTCGACAGATCGACGACAATGGCAATGAGGTACGTCCACAATTCACATTGTGTCCCAGCCTCGTTTTTCTTTGCGTCTTGCGCTTCCTGTGAGCGCCCTGCCCTCCGAGTCCTAAGCACATGACGTATCGGGAGTCCGGCGATATCTCAAGCTCGAGGCATGTGTGGATGCTAGGACCATTTGGACCGGTCACCGACTCTACTTTGAGCCGGAGCATCGCCCTTCGAGTGACGGATATCGAGTGCGGGACGTGGCGTCAACCTCTGGTCCGATGGACTGGGGGATGACTCGTGAGGGTTCGGTCTCGTCGTCGTCATACCCTAGTAGAGCAGCTCGAGATCATTCCCTACTCTCCCGTTTTGGGGGTGATTCTTGTGGGACGGCCCTGATGATACCTTCGGGTGTCCCTGCGGAGAGCTTGGAAGAAGCCACGGGGTGGTCAGAAGAATTGTCCACTCTTCCTACCATCAAGCCTGAGAGAAGAGCCGCCTATTCTCAGACCACCGCGTGGCGTGGAAGCCTTGGAAACCACACCTGACCGCGCCTGTGCCAATATCCAGGCCTAAAATGGGGATGGGGGCGCCAGTCAGATGGTTAGAACCAAACCGTCAGGAAAATCAGGATGCTCCGTGCGCTTAACGGGGACCTGCCTGGTATGGCGTCGATGATCAGGGCTCAGGAAGGCAGCAAGACGCAGACATTGAGAACTTCGAGCGTGGCGTACCAGCATAATATCTATTCTCCAGCTGACTGGGCGAAGACACTCACACAGGATGATCCTCTTCCGGCCAAGGGCAAGGACTTTGTGTCTCAGAGCCATCAGGTATGGTCTCCTTTCTGGAAGCAATTTTCATGCCAGACTTCTAACCCCCAGGTTCAAGAACTCCGCAGTCAATGATACGAGCTACAACCAGCCTCCGTCTGATACCTCAGCCGATAAGGTCACGGCGCTGCTGATGCTAGAGTCACGCGTCGCGCAGATGGAGGAGACTTGCAATCAGCTCAAGAAAGACATGACTCGATTCCAGCTCAAGACAAATGCCGTATACTATCATCGTATGGCGATGAGCCGAGTGAGTTCAGTTGAAGGACGCCAAATGAGAACGGAGAGAAACGTCGAGCGCATAGATGAAGGCCGACAACAGACGGAGGCCACCCAACAGCAAGTGCAGGTCACTCAGGCCGCTCAAGACAAGCACATCCAATACCTTATTGCCTGTGAGGACGCCCGCGACGCCTCCAAGCACGGAAGTAATGCCTCTGAGGACGAACACTACCAGCGACACAAGGAGCTTCAGGACAGATGCGACGAGCTGACGATGAAGAATATGCGATACGATGAGATTTTCATTTCTCAGGCAACCCGCAACCAGAGAATGGATGCCCTGGGACAGAATCTGGCTATTTGTACTGTTCTCATCGTTGTTGTCATTGCCATTGTGGGCTATGCTGTTTTCTCGTCTTGGGACTGAAAGTAAACATACGATGGGGAATTGAGGAGTTGTACAGCAACTGAGAAATTGTTTCGGGCATGGTTGGATTGAAAGAACATGGCATGTCAGTCTCTCCGAAGAATGTAAGCACAGAAGAAATACCCAAAAGTAATAGATACTCGTGCGGCTCGTTTTGCATCAACCAATATTTCCTCTCAAAGAGTTAGCAAAACCTATGACAATGTGCAAGGTTGTGTAACGTTGAGATAAATTGAAGAAATAGGTATCTGGTAAGCTGCAATATTTATGTTACTCATGAATCATACTCCCGCCATCTCTGGGTGGCCAAGCTAATATCAAGCCTGTTTCAAGGAGACAGTGCTTCGAAGCTCCAGCTCGTCCGAGGCTCAACCCTTCTTCTCACTCGAAATATCCGCTCCAGAGCCATCGTCACGATCCCAAATTGCAGTCTCCATGGTGGGGTACACTAGGTCCGCGTCCTCTTCTCGCCACTCTTCCAGATCGACCAAATGCCAGTTGGCCCTTACGAATCTGCTCCGAACCTTGTCTGACATGCCAACCATGCGAATCTGCACGCTCTTTCCAGAATGCAACTTGATCTCATCCTTGAGCTCCTTCAACGTCATGATGCCCGACGTATCGATAAACGGTACCATGGTGAAGTCCCATACAACAACAGCAAGCGGCGTCTCCTTGAGACGGATCTGCTTCTGCGCTCTCAATCTCTCCAGGCGCTTCTCCGCTGCTACACTCCAGTGTCGCTCTCTGTCGTCTTGGCTAAGACTGCTTTCGACGCGCGGGTACACCAGCTTGATGGCAGTGAGCGTTGAAGTCTTTGCGCGCTCTGCGTTGGGGAAGAAGATTGCGTCGTTGAAGTCGACGACGATGGCGTCGCCCGGGATAGAGATGCGCGCGTTCTCCATGCGCTCGTCTGTGACTTGGCGACCGCCACCGCTGGTGATGCGGGTGATGGGTTGTGGGATGGAAGTGGCTGTTTCTGCGCTGCTAGAGTGGATTTCGGGCTTGACAAAGGTGGAACGGAGGAGAGTCCAGACGATGCTCCAAGCGACCTTGATTTCAAGGTTAGTTATGGCTGAAAAGAAAGACGTTTAAAAGGGGGGAACATACAGCAACACCGATACCAATCTCGGCAGAGACAAAGATGGTGACCCAGAAAGAGACCATTGAGGCAACAAAGTCGGGAAAGGAGATGCGCCAGAACTTGTAGAACAAAGACAAGGGACCAAACAGATGCACAACTGCCATGATCTAACTTTGGTTAGTGGATGCTTATTGAGTATTCCTCAGAGCAAGTAAGGTACTTACAATAATGGCTGACAAAGTTGCAGAAGGAAGCCAGTAGAGGGCTGGAGACAAAACATAGAGCGTCAGGAGAATGAAGGCAGCAGTGACCGCACCAGTCAGAGGGCTCTTGACACCACACTCGGACGCAACAGCAGTTCGAGACATGGCACCACCGACGGGCATGGTGCTGAAGAAACTGTTGACAATGTTGACGACACCCAAGTAATTGAACTCCTGGCTCTGGTCGATCTGGTAGTTATTCTTCCTGCCAAAGGCCTTACCGACGGCCAAGTGCTCAAGGGTGCTGGCAACGAGTGGGGCAACGGCTCTGGTGGCGACCTTCTGGACCAAGTTCGAGGCGGGCACAATGGGGTGGGTGATGCCGTGGGTGCTGACTTGGCTGACCTTCCAGGCGTAGTCTGACTTCTCGCGGTTGCGGTTGACGAGGTAGCTGATGAGAGTGAAGACGACCAAAACAATGACGGCTCTGGAGTTGGCGAGGAGCTTGATGGCAAAGTGCCTCTTACCGTATTTCTTGCCCACCTTCTCAAGAATGACGAGAATAAGCAGCGTTCCGAAGCCGATTCCGCACGTTGCGCCATCCCACTTTGGCAGACGACGAAGGACATCGCCAATGACGTTGAAGACACCGGATGGCACGTTAGTCAGGCCGACGAGGGATCCAACTTGGCCAAAGGCGATGACGAGGGCTGCGGCTGAGATGAATCCGGTGAGGACCGGGAAGGAGACGTAGTCTAGGAGGAATCCGAGGCCGAAGAGACCAATAACGAGTGAGTAGACTCCGACCATGAGAGCCACGGATGAGGCAATGGCTGAGATGTCGAATCCTTCTTCGCTGAGATCACGGACGATTTCAGCCGTCAGAAGGCCCAAAATGGAAGTCGGTCCGGTTGAGAGATCTATGCATCAAATGAGAAGTCAGAAACCAGAATTGCACGAAATGTTCAAGACAAATTTGCAAACAAACCCTTCGAAGTGCCCATAAAGACCGCAAATGCAGCTGGCAGCCAACTTGAGTACAGGCCGTTGGCAATGGGAATGGTTGCAATCTTTGCGTAAGCCAAAGACTGCGGGATGAGCATGACGCCCACGGTCAGACCGGCAATGAAGTCGGTGATGAGCCATTTCGGGTTGTATCGAGGAAGCCACTGGACGATGGGGACCTTGTCAAGGAGGTAGACTCCCGCGGCTGACGGAAGCTTTGGGGCCCCCTGAACGACAAAGTCGCGAGCTCGTGCGATGCTGGCATCTGTGGCGAACTCGTCTTTCACCTTTTCAACCTTTCTGGTGATCTTCTCCATCTTGACAGCAGAAAGGGAACCCAAGTGCCGTTGTTTAAGAAAGATGAGAAAGGGAAAGTGAGGTAACAGAAGTGTCCGGGGCCGTCGGTGGCTGATGTGATGAGAACAGACAAAATGGTTTCAGAGCAGTTGGGATGGTTATATCTGTTCAAGAGAGACTCAAGTCATCACCTCCATCCGGTCTCAACTATTCGATATTTGACTTGATCCTGGAGATAACAACTCAGTTCAGTCAGACCCCTCCCCTTCCGCCACGCTGATGGAGGTGTTCTATATGCTTGCTGCATCGCATCTGATCCGCGCATTGCAGCTTGCCCGCTTGCGCAAGTCGCCCGTCCCCCAGTACAACACAGCAGCCACATGGGATAGCGACCCGAACCTTGTAGGCGGATAACTATACCATCCAATACGTGTAGAGAAAAGGCAAGAAAGACAAGAGGAGAAAGAGGGGGAGGCGTGAGCCAAGAAAACACTACCGCAGCTGCATCATGGTCTCCTGCGTGTGTACACAACTTGGCCTAATCTAGGCAAGGAACTGCCGTACCCTCCTTCGGACGACACTCGGTATCCCCTCACATGCCGATGACACCGGATCTAATGCAGTTTGATCACTGTTCAGCCCATGGAAGGTGTCGAGAGCCTCAGATTGGTGGGAGTTTGGGTAGGTCTGCGTTACGTCGAGCAAGGCCAGCCAGCCAGCCAGCCCCCTCGCGCGGAGTCGCGCCGCGATGAACGCCAAATAGCTTGGAGACCAGGAAGACATTAGACCAGCACTCCAACTTTTCTCCAATAAAGGAACAAGATAAGCTACATGTACAGGGAAGACTTCAGGTCTGGTCCCTGGATACTAGTCGGGTGCAGATGTCCATCCAACTCAAAGTGAAACTGACTGGTACCCATCCCGCGTGGGATAGCAGGAACAGGACTTGTGAATAGTACGCAGCGTGGCGTGGCAAAGAAACGGTACGTTGATCACATGTGCACCAGGGTTTGGGGGATCAAAGTCAATGGCTACTAGACGGGACGAGAATAGGATCAGTTGAATATTTGGAGTAAGAGAGACAACCACATAATTAGCACACACTACGTTATGTGTGAAGTTACTAAGTAAAGTACGGACGCAGCTGGGCACGGAGGCTAGAATTGGAGTCATGTCAGCTGTGATGAAAGGTCCGCGCCCTCTCATTCGTCATTTCACAAGATGGGGGAACCATGAGCATAGCATCTTTGTTTCAACGCTTTTATTCACTTCGATTTCGTTTGATTTTGAGTTTGCATTCATTAAACTTTGTATTAGACTTGATATCTCGTCACTTGGCATCTGAGAGCCGCAATGCTAAGTCGACTGCCAAGTGCCGGTGTCTCTTGGCCTCCTCGTGGCTATTGACGACTAACCAAAGCACAATCCAGTCTTGGCAGGTTGCACATCGAATCTTGTGAGACAGCGAGGGCGTTGAAAAGGACGGACGATCGCCACCGGCAGACAAAACGGGCCGACCTCATGGGCAGTCACGGCAGAATTTCTGGGTGTGTACGTGCGTATTGTACGTATGAGAGTGATGAGTGAGCTGGTGAGTGAGTGAGAGAGAGAAAGTGAGTGAGAGGTGTGTGTATGATGTTTGTTACTTTTGCCACGGCTAGCACTACGGTAGTCGAAAAAGCGTCAAGCCAAGAAATAGGCAAGTCCCAATTCCTATTAGCGAACACCAACACTTGGTACCTAAAGCACGTTCTTGGGGGTTGCATGCATTGGCAGTCTACACGGGAAGCTTGGCGGCAAAAGACATATCGAATTTCCCCATGTGGATTGGTGACTTGAGATAACAGGCTCTCCCATCCAAGACATAGAACACTTGGCTTTCTCTGATCCTCTCTCTGGCGCACACAGCGCATGCGTGGGACCTTTTCGGTTTCAGCTTCTTGTGCAGGACTAGAGTTGAGCGAATATGAAGGGTCGCAATGAAGTGTATGTGGTATCCATATTCCCATATCAAGGTGACGACGACGACGCAATACAGAGCCCCATTTCTTTGGTATGCGAGATACCGCGTTCGAGTCCCTCTCTCTCGCGGTCCTATCGTTCCGTCAGGTCTCTGTCTTTCTGTGCCTCTCTCACACACTTCTCTCTCTACCTGCCTGTAAGTATCAGAGGTACGTTAGTTTTGACGCAAGACCGGAATTCCCGCGCGAGAGCCCCCCTACCCAGTTGGCCCCCTCCCCCCCTCCGTTGTCCACTTCCCTTCCCGTTCAACTAAAGACCAAGACGCGGGGTACATACCCGTCCAATAGCGCTCCCGTCGCGGTCATCGGCTCTAGCAGGGCCATCTTGGATAGACGAACGCAATGACGAGGCGAGATGTCGTGTGCCGGGTGGTGGGCGCGGGCATACAG